GTTTAATTAACATGAAACCAAATTAAATTTATTGTTGTCCATAATTTTTATAGCGGTTTGAAACAAAAACCACTCTATTTTCAAGTACGTGCGCGAAAAAGAAATTATTATACAAGTGGTCTGCGTTTCATCAACCGCTTCCCGCTCAATTTAAGTTAAGGCTATAGCAATATTGAAGAGCATTCAACTAATTTAGCTACTGTAAGTGGCATTCGTTTAAATTATATATGCGTGTGTGCATGGTTGGTTATTCATTTAAAATAAATTATTACAAAAATTTTCTAATGAATTTTAATTAAATTAAATTTAATTTTATTTTAATCTATTTTAATTTATTGGATTATCGCTTGTGTGAACAAAAGCAAAAACGAAACACAAATAGAACGCAATGGTTTTTTGAGTGGAACCTACAAAAAACCAAACTTAATGACATTTTATAACAAAGCACATGTTGTAAAATGAAAAAAGCAAAAAAAAAAAGAAAAAAAAAAAACACATTTCACTGATTTATGTTTATTACTACCCAACGTATATCAAAGACTTTACGGGACTGAGTAAACAAAGCATTGACACGGCGGGGAAGTATAATATATAACGTAATCAATAAATTTGCTTCATATTCATATTAATGTGTATTCTTAATATACACATAACTACTTGGACATCTGATATGTGTTTCTATGCCTCACAAACAGATCGACTACAACACTCCATTAGTAACTACAAAAGTAACATCACTAAAACAACTGTAACTCGTAAACTAATGGTCGGGATGTCAAGAAGTTTCGACACATATCGATTGAGGGCTGCTACTCTCCAGAAACCGTATGGGTTTGGAAGGGCAACACACGAGTACATCATGTGCAACATATTCTCGGCTATAGACAAGGCGCTTAAGCCACTCAAACATCCACACGTGATAATTATTCATCGCCATCCTTTAATAAAAGATAAGCTTCGGTAACGGCTTCTCCAAGTTTAATATGAAGTTTCGCGACAATTCGTTGCTCATTTATCATTCGTCCAGTGAAACTAAAAGGAAAAGGGGGGTCCGTTGCCGTAACAACGACAAGGAAGCTTCAGAGACCCTATAAACTATATATATTCTTGATTAAGCTACGTCTGTCCGTCTGTATGGTATTGATTTTCAGCATTCTCCTAGTGGTGGGGATATGCGAGATTCGACCCCCGACGAATATAACTTTCTTACTGGTTTTTATTTATTTATTTATTTTTTTTTTTTTTTGGTTAAAGGTTATCCAAAACAACTGTAAACATAATGGTCTTTGTCAATCCGTCAATTCGATTTGTTTATCAGTGTCTGCTAAATATTGATATTTCCTTTTGTTGTCAATGTCATTATTGTTAAGGAAAGCATTACCATGTTTTTGCAGACTCATCATTTGAGTAGAAGCAGTATAATAACTTTGTCATGAATTTTTAATAAAAAGAAAATTTAAGAAATATTTACCAGAAAATCCAAAACTTGCTTATTTATGTTATCCAATATGAATGTATAAATGTATACTTTTGCCTCCTGGTTAAATAATGTTGGATATGTATCATGCCTGATAATGATACTAACTGATAATAAATTGTCATACAATGACCAAAAAATCAGAAGCAATTTTATAAACTAAACTTTGAAAATAGCACCAGCAACTTGCAGCATACAGCAGATATTAATTCGCTACAAATATGCAATCTATTCATTTTCCTGTAGCAAGAAAAATGAGCATTCAGAACGAGAGTGTTCCACCTGATTTTGATTGGGATTGCAGTGCCGTTGATAATGTGAAGCAAAATATATCACTGCCGATCAATGATAACTACGAACGAGATCAACAAATACTTGAGCCAACGGATGTAGCGGAAAGCAGTAGAGTATGGACGGCATATTCTCGCAATACCCCATCTAAGGCGTTTTCCTATAAGGACATACCCTTGGAATATAATAAAAGACGTTTTAAACATGTGGAGAGCAAAGTCGCTCAATACATATCACTCTCATATGAGCCAAAGATGAGAAACGTCGCAACTCTGAACAGTTTCTTATCTATCCTTATTTACCTGAAACTTTAGATGGAAGCAGAGAACAACATCTATATGTAATCAATACATGCCAAAAATTTGTATTTCTACGTCACTACGCTGATGATAAAAATAACAGGATGGATCAGAAGAGCGTATCGGCTTCCGTATCTTTGACAAAGCCACTTACATGTAATTGTTTAGCGATAAGAAGTATACGATAGCGATGAGAAGATAACGATTATTTGCAAAGCAAACTGGATGAGAAAAGTATTGAAAACGGGCACCTTACAAGGAATATAAATTACATGGACTTCAAATTGATCCAATGCAACGATAAACTTCAGCAACCCATTATAAAACCAAAGAACGCAAAAGCTCTTCCGGCTCATAAGGGTTGGGTAAGCGCATTGGGAAAGCAAAAAACGCAACAATGTTGCTCGGGGAAGTTCACAAAAGACATTCAAGCTGATCTCACTTTGAGCCCATCGCCCGTATCACGCTTGCGTCTAACCAAGGGAATATTAAACACATCCACAACTTCTGAATAAATAGGAATAAGTAAATATCAATGTATAACCAAAGTTTAGTGGAGAAATTATCTTCATTTTCTGATTGGCTCGACTGCAACTAACGAAATGATATTTAAGTATCTTTTCTTTCTAAGGGATATTCAAAATTCCCTTCAAAGTGAAAATAGTCTTACACAAGTTTAACTTTTCTAAGAAGCTTGGCAGGATTTGTTTAATCTCTTCCTTTTTGCGACTTGCTAAAGCAATGGAAAGAGAATATTGCGGAGAGCTGAAGCATTTGAGTGTAGAGTTTTGAAAAATTTCGTAGAAAAAAGACAGGAGTAAATAAAAAAGTTGAGCAAAACAAACGTGCAGGTACAAAATGAGGGAGAACATTAAGGGCTAATTGAACTAATGTGTAAACTCACCAAGAAGTAAACTTCATTCTACCTATCCGTGTTCGTTATTTTACCTAATCGAAAAACAATATTAAGCCTCCGCCTATTATAATCCTGTAGCAATATTTTATATACATATATAACATGAAGGGCTTATTCAAAAGCAAACTTCTTTCTAGCTACCTGCGTTGGTTATTTCACGTAATGGAAAAACAATATTAAACCTCCTTATATTATATTTCTATAGCAATATTCTATATATGTATATATATAACATGAAGGGTTAATTAAACATTCGTATGAAGCAAACTTGATTATTCCTTACCTGCTGTATTATGAAATGAATTAAATTTTCGCTTACGGATGGATGCCTTTACTTTCTTCGCTGAATTGATTACATTGTGATCTAACATTCACCGAATATTGCATTTTTCACTTTAAGAAGAAGTGAGTTATCTTCTTCTTTTTCCTCACAATAATTTAATAAAATAAAATAAGACGTACAAGCTATCAATCAATTTCAACAATGTCTACCTACTCCGTCTTTTCAAATATGCATTAAATGCACATCAGTCAATCAACAACTAGAGCAGTTGAGTGGAAAAATGGGCGCAATATTCGATTCCATATACCAATATATGACCCGGAAACGTTCGCAGCACAGACATATTAATTATTCTGACTAACACTTATAACATTACCCACAACTCAGCTGAATCCATACTTTTAACAACTCTAATGTCCGGCCAGAACCGGCTATTAATCCGTGCTTTTTTGTGCGTTACAAAAAAGAAGATCTCGAATTATTCTTTTAAAATCAGAGATTGTTCTATAAAACCTCCAACAATGAGCTCGTTTGTCTGTCCGCTAGTCTTTATTCATTCTGGAGTTGGGAGAAACCTTGTTGCTGGGCAAATTTTAAAAATCAACGGACTCTGCCCACACGACTCTGCAGTGCGAAGAACTGAGGAAAAGCTTTAGAGCATAGAAAGCTTGAGATCCATTAGCCTTATTAGACATTTACGTGAAGTTAAACCCTTGAAAAATCGTAATGAAAATGATCTCAATCGCTCTACCTGAAAAGCGACTTAAGCTGGCGTATTCACTTCATTCATTTAAAGCTTTCTGACAATTTTCTATGCAGAATTTTAATGCCGCCTTATGGGTATTTTAATTAGTAGTATGTACCTTTCCTCGGAAACATTTGCATATGTGTAGTTTTTTTTTTTTTTTTTTTTTTTTTGTTTTTTGAGCTAACATATAAATTTTACGCATAATACGATGAGCAAAAAGTTTATATATTGTGTTGCGAGTTAGTTCTTTTCTCTTATATTCTTTTACACTAATGATGCAAAATTTCATAGTCACGTTCCGCTTTTCCGCAATATCAACAAAACAGCAACAACAGAATTATATATGAAATGTAAAGAAAACAACAACAGCAATCATAATAAACAACAATTGTCGTCTATTGTTGCATATAATGCTCTGTTCGTTTCCCATTCCGCGCTCTGTTTTGCCAGCTACCTGTCGCTCAATTTGCAAGAGCACGTAAAAGTACAAGTAGCAGCCACAATAGTAGTAGTAGTAGTAGTAGCAGAAGTGATAGTAATACTAGTAGTAGTAGTAGTATTAGTAGCAGCAATAGCGCTATGCAAACAGAGAAAATATGTTATAAAAAATTGTAATAATAATAATGGAAACAAAACTATTAAAATTCATTGTATGTCGTATGCACGCATACACACATACAATATACACTTTGAAACACGACATGCCTAAAATGTTAATACAAAACTACAATAGAGACAATAGTAAAGGAAAAAAAATTTATTGTCATTTAATGTTTATTTAATGGAAAAAAATTGAAAACATCACTTATTGCCTTAACCGGCTTTTTTTCAAAATCTTATTTTTATTATTATTAGTATTTTTTTTTCTGTTTTTTTTTTTTTTTCGTTGATATGTTGCGTTATTATGTTTTGTTGTATTTTGCAGAGTTGTTGTTGTAGTTGTTATTGTTTTCTCCTTTGTCTTTTTACTCTTAAACTTATTGTAGGAACATGTCCTCCTTCGTATTTTACCTGCAATGATGGCAAATGCATACCAATGCGTTGGAAATGTGATTCAAAAGCGGATTGTGATGACAGCTCTGATGAGACTGTAGGTTGTGGTAAGTCTTTGCTTATTTAAAATACAAAATCTTTTTCAACTTCACACTTTTAATTTGCTTCCTCTTCTTGAAAAGAAATCATCAACGAGACAAAGGACCCATCGTGTCCTTTGCAAATTGCTATTAATTTCTTATAGATGGAAATGCTTCCATAGACGGAAATGCCTTCTCCTGTAACGTATGGTATCGGGTTACTAACCTTTTAGAAAACAAGTTTCTGTCTTCCTCTTCTCTCGTACTAAATTCACTGCCAATGCTTTTAACGGAAAATATAGCCCAACCATCCTGTTCCATAGAGGAATCGAATAAGCTCTCAATCAATGACTCACTTAAATGTTATAAATACAGAAAAACGGAATTTCCCGAAAACTTCTTCTTTTACAAGGGCCGTAAATTATGCATTACATCTGCCTTCACCACCAGTTTAACGGTGTTGTGGCTATCAAATATGAAATGTGTTTAAGTGTGGCTTTTGCTCATTATACTATAAAATGAGAAATTTAAATATTGTTGCAGAATATTTCTAATAATATTTGGACCTTGGCTTGGTTGGCTACTAGCGAATTACATCCTAATTACAATGTGATAACAATTCGGGAACATTTGTTATCACAAATTTTTATTTTTATCTCTCTCTCTTAATCCAATCAATCTGCTTTGGTCACTGCCCTGATATGTAAAATGTGATTTTTTGACCCGTTAAATAAAAAGGTTTGCCCATCACTGTTCTGTAATATCGGATAAACGAGGCTAATTGTCTCGGCTTCTGTACAGACACTGTAGGGTCATCCATCGGCTATACAGGGATATTTTTATCGTTGTATCTTTTATAGGATAGGAGCAACGATAAGGACTTGCGTGCAAAATATCGGAATGTTTTAGTCGACAAATGCTGAACATAGACATTACACAGACGAACAGGTGGACTTGTTTAAATCGGTTTAGAATTTAATGCTGATCAAGAATGGAGTTTTTATGGAGTTTCTTTCCGTCCCCTTTAGCAAGGTGCGTTGTTAATGATGAACTACTTCACTTAGATTCACCGTCGATGCGAAGGACATGATAAACACACAACACTTGAGAATAATCTAAATTGACGTTATCTTTACGTTATTTACGACGTAGTTACGTCAAAATTTTCTTCACAATTTTTATTTCCAATTTATTCTTTATCATATACTCCGTCTCCATGCATTATTTGCTTGTAAAAAAAAAAAAAAACAAGTAAAAAAATGGTATTTTTGATCGTAACCGAATCTTTTATATCCATCACCGTGATCCTAAAAAGAAAGGAAAAGAACGAAATTCTCGTACTCTATAACATTGAGTGTGCGCGGCTGATTTATCTTCAGGATAAAACTGGAAATTTATAGGACGCATGCGTTGCAGTTTATGAGTAACAAGCGAAAAACGCGGAAAGCAAAGGTGTTCACAGTTTTCGGGACATAGACGTGTGCGTATTGTACACACATTCTTCGGGTCATTTTTTGCCATTTTGTTGGGCGATATCTCCATTTTAATCCGCGGGGAGTGGTTATTGTGGTACGTTATAAGGATATCGAAATAAATTAAATGTTGATAAACTATAGTATTGGATAGGCGTGGCCAATTTTGGACAGTGTAGCGCGATATCGCCCACATAATGTACGTTCAACTTTTTGTATATTTATCTGCTGAAGTTTATAAGTAATGAGCAAAAAATCATTTGGTGTTGGTCCGTCAACTGACTCGGCTCATTTCCAGTGCCAACCTACATGCAAGAACCTTCAATGCTCTTGCCAAATCCACCGTCGACAGCTTCAGTTTTCCGCCTGGGAGAATGTTTATAACAGATATTGCGAAGGCGGACAGACGGACGGACATGCTTAAAATGATTTAGAATTTAATGCTGATCACGAATATAATATGCCGAGTCTCTGAAACTCCCTTCTCGCCGTTGCAATCAGTTTGGCAAAGTGAATATGCCCGTCACCCTTTGGTGACATGGGTGTTTTTCATTCTCAAACGGAATATCCTTTTCGCTTTTTCGCTTGTTTTATTCTTATTGTGAAGCCTACGTATAATGTATCGTAGAAAGGACCTTTGTGAATGCAAGCAATAAGCTAATGAAATGAAGCGATATGAATTGCAATCAACTGCATTACATCGAAATATGGCATCGTTTCGGACGGTATATCTTCGTTCAATTTCCACTGCAGCTGCTGGACTGATGATGATAATATGAAAAAATATTTCGTAATTGTCTCATCTTTCACTGTTTACACGTTATTCAAGCCATCGAATACATGTCAATGAAGCAATAAATGAAAGTCATGGTTGCAGTAATAAAATATTGTTCTCAGCAGTAGCAACAAGAGCAAGTGCATCGTTATTATCGCATATGTAACAATTGCAATAATTTTTTCTTTGGGAGATGACAAGTCAGACTCGATTTTAATTGTAACTTAAAGTACTCGCACTTCAGTTCTGAAACATAACGCATGAAATAAAAATGCGAAGCAGTCATAATAATAAACTAAGAAAGCGAATTAAAGGCACCATTTGTGCACTGCAGGCAATGGAGAATCCTCTTATTATCCTCTTAGCCCGATTACGACAAATTTATTTCGCTTCAATAGTTAATCTTTAGTTAATCTTTTCCTAGCAAGAGTAAAAATATTTTTAAGTACATGGTTGCACGGATCTAGCCACACAGACTCTACGCTGAACAAACTTTATAAATCCATATATCTTGTTCTTCTTCACTTTAAACGATATTTTAAATACTTTTATGCCCGTCATGGGCATGGATAAGGGGCATATTGATTTCGTCAAAACGTTTGCAAAGCCCAGAAGGTCGTTCCAGAGACTCCGCAAAGAATATATATACTCTTGATCAGCATTAAATTCTACAACGATTTAGGTTTGTCCATCTGTCCGCCTGTGTGTTTGTCTGTTTTAAACGTTCTCCTGGCTTCAAAAATTATTTTCTATGGCATGAGCATTAAAGATCCTTGAGCGCAGGTTGGTATTGAAAATGGACCAAGTCGATCAAAGAATGCGCCCGCAGCACCACGTAAACTGAAAATACCTCCGTTTTTTAAAAGCAATGAAGAATTGGTTTTCTGTTCACTACTCATAAGCTGTAGCTGAAAATTGTTTAAAAATTTGAACGCATATTTTCTATGGGCGAATTTGTAGCAGCTGTACAAAAGTGGAAATGAATTGATCACGCCTACCCAACGTGATAGTGTATCAAAATTTACTTTTTTTTCAAAACCTTTATAAGCGACAAAAACAAGCTTGAAAAACTTCCTAAACTATATAAATCTTTGATCAGTTTCAAATTTGGAATGCACCTAAGCATGTCTGTCTGCTTCCCCTTCGCAACTTTGTAGCATCTGTAGTAACGATTAGTGAATATGAAAATATTGCTTATAAATTTGCAAAGGAATTTGGAAGTGGAACTAAACTTTTCAAACCACACACCTACACTGTGCACAGGCCAATGGTACAAAAACTATTATTTTGAAAATAGAAAAAGTCAGCCATCATATTATATAACACATAATATTACATAGCATGAAAATGGAGTCCTTTTTCCTTTTTTGTCTTTTTTAGGATGGTGATGATGGGTGTAAAAGCTCGAATAAAATTTTCTTAGTTGTCACATTTGAAAACGTCGAATATTATCATGTCAAACGAGACCGTTTATTTTGTAGAAATTGTTGTTGAATTTTATCACAGGCCTCATGAGCATGCTCTAGTTGGATTCAGATCCTTAAAGGTGATAATTTTGATGTAAAAGTCAAAATACATTTAGATCAGCGGGAAAAAAGTTTAAATAAATCTCTGGAAATAGTCATTGTTGCAGTTTATGAGGAACGAGAAAACAACAATTTTTTGCTTCTGAAAATAAAGGTATTGTGCGCGTATTCGTTGATTAAATCGGGCCATTTTAAATGCGAGCCGGCTTGCGAGAACTTCCAATGTTTCGAATTTTTGTGAAAGGGGAAAATTTACAATAAATTGACTTGGAATTTCAATCAGAGCAAGAAGACGCTCCACACTGTATGAGGTGCATATGTTTAGACAAAATGAATATGGGCAGTGGATTAAAAAAGAGCCGCAAAAAATGTTTCACATCACGGCAGCTTTGAGCTCACTAGATATAAGGGTGTGAAGATAAAATCGAATTTAACTAGCGACGACACCTACCATATCTGTTAACAAAACTCTTTTAAAGCCTTAACAGAGCTTTGTTGAATATTTAAAATTAAGATATAGTTGGATTTGAAAGCCTACTCCGTCCATCTAAAACAAGGTAAAATATTTTTGTGGACATTTTATGAATGTATATGAAAATACCTTTCAATCCAATTAAACAAATTCAAATTCTGCTTATGGAAACTATTTGGAAATTTGGTATATTAGTGAAAAATGGATTTGGGAGAACACCCAAACTTGAGACTCTACTGCGATCCAAGTGGAAAATCCCGCCTATATGCACCTATATCGAATGAGCAAAAAAAATGCAAACTTTTCTTTCGGAAACTAGTTTTAACAATTGTTTGAAATTTGGTATGTTAGCGAAAAATGCATATGGAAGTACAGCCGAATTTGAGACTCTGATCCGGCCAAATGTCATTAGTATACTACATATACTTAGATACTATAATATACTATACCATATTAGTACTATACACTATACTATACTAGTACTATACTATACTATAATATGCTGTACTATACTAGTACTGCACTATACTATACTAATACTAAATCTTACTATACTAGTGCTATACTATGCTATGCTATACTGTACTAATAATATTGTATACTATACTATATTAGTACTATACTGTACCAACAGGGAAGAGGAGAATGTGGAATTTTTGCATAAAAAATCTTCAAACACGATTTTCTAATGTGCATGTTATTGACAAGTCATGTTATCGTACAAGTTTTCCTATTGAAACCATCAAAATGTCAAACTTCCGATTGTAACGTATGGCTTGGTTTTTTTGGAGAGGTTCATTAATTACATTTGTAAACGAATATGATTCGCCAACAATTACGTCCATAAGACCAAAATTGCTTGCAAAACAAGCTAAGCATTTCAACATCTTTCCATCGGTAGTTTATGGATCCCGTAGTGAATCTCAATCGTAATTCTAACACTATCACTTGGCAAACTGCACATGTACGATATCTTTCACTCGGTATATAAAGTCTTAGCCATTAACGTGCACCTACACGATGCTTGTATATTATTCACCTTTGGCGACGGATATTCTAGAAAAATATAAGCTTTCTTCTATATGCGTATTATCCGCTCCCAAGAAGAGGAAAACACATGACAGGCGGCCAACACCAGCTTCAAATACAAACCTCTTTACTTTGCTCAGTTTGCTGTCAATGGCCTTGCTGTGTATCAATAGTAAGCAATCATATGAAATGGAAATGGAAGAAACTCCATTGTCCCCATAAACTTTATGTTCAATGCTATTACATATCTTTTTGATTTTCTTTCACCATTGCTATGCGTTTTTTTTCTTATTCACCAAGCTTTAAAGTTTAGTTGTTGGCCGCACAGGCCATGTATGCTTGCTTGTGATCATGTTTATTTTACCGGATATTGTATGTTTTCTTTTTGAAATCGATTCATTCACGATGTATTTAGTTGTACAGTTGGAATGTAAACGTACATGTGAGTTCCGTTCGCCAAGCTTCATTGTACCATTCACCTAAGGATGGGAGGTGTATTCATTTTGTCAAAACGTTTGCAACGACCAGAAGGAAGCTTCAGTGTGACCACAAAGTACATGTATTCTTGATCACCATCAAATTTTGAATCGATTTAAGCATGTCCGTGTCTACGTCTGTGTAATGTCTATTCTAAACATTCTTCTGATCGCAAAAAGGCAGCTATCAACTTAAAATTAGGCAGTAACGTTGGAAATTCTTTCACGCAGTTTCAAACTTGGGCTGCATCTAAGAATGTTCGTCTGTCCATCTGTCCATCTACACATAGTATTTGTTCATTCTCCCGATAGCGACAATAAAGATGTCTTCTACAAATTTGAAATAAAAAAAAAGTGAAAGTGGCTCAAATTTTTCCAAGGCCAACGCCGATACGGTAAAATTTTTCATTTTGAACATAGAAAAAATCAGTCACAACCACAACTTATTACAGGGCATGATGAAAATGTAGTTTTTTTATTTTTATTTTTTTTGTTAGCATATAAAAGATTCGTTCACGACGGAATATAATTTTCTTATTCATTTCATTTTGCTGTCGATATGACGGAGAAAAAAATCTCATCATATGTGGTTGTTAATGAGGTCGAACAGTTCTAGTCTTTCGTCTATCAAAACGATTGAAAAGCAAAAAAAGGGAAAAAACCAAAAATAAGAAGAAATAAAGATTAACATGTGTCAGTCGGAAAACTGCCAGTGATGTGAACCCATTAAAAATTTTTAATTCCTATACTCAGTGCAAGAAATGGCTAATAGACGTATAGGGGCTAACAAGTGACCATTTCATCGAAGATACGAATTACTATAAATTTCCCAAAATTCCTGAAATCCTAAAACTGATGGGCTAGGGACATGGGCGTGTACAATAGATCTTCTAGATCGCGGTACGTCTTGCCCAATTAATAATAATAATAATAATATTACAAATTTATTGAAATAAAGAGATGGAAAAATCATTTATGTAACATACCGTGATTAGCAGACTGCCATCAAACCTATTGCTTAAACACATTACACGTCGTAGCGATCTTTTTATCTTTGTTGCAATCCAATTAGTAGGCACGTTAAAGGACGCAATAGGAACATGTTGAATTAACTCGATTACATAATAAAGTCAAGTGCACTTATTCTGGCTTTGCAACTTTAAACTAATTTTTTTAAACACTTGTTCTCGTACAAAGCAAAAATTGTACTATGTCTGTACAAAAAATTGTCAGAGAGTTGATCTCTTTTGCAGCCGAATATCTGACTCTTGCGAATTACCATTTTTTGTAACAAGATTATGTTGTACAATGTAAATTGTAATTTGCGATGTCCATCTTGCGAGCGGCGAAAAGTAACAAAAGCATTAAAGGATATTTATCAGGGAAGCTTTTAAGCATGAATTACGACTTTTTCAGCCAATACGTGCCTAAGCATGATTTAGTCATAAATTTTCGTTCTGTTAAATGCGTTCATATTTCAATTTAAATAAATTAAAGCGAGAAAACGGTTCTTCTCTTTGCCTCTTCCCTCATTCATGTTATGGGAATTCAATTGCTGCTCGCACAGAAAAAAACCAGTATAGACTCCTTCGCACATTTTTTTTTTTTTTTTTTTTGATTTTTCATAGCCAGTGCAGGTGATAGGTGGAGAAAATAAGAGAAATTGAATGAAAAAAGTTTTTCCTTTTTTTGTTTGTTACTGTAAGTACAAGTATGGTAGGGTAGGTATAGTAGGTTCGTTGGTGCTTAAGCAACGCTTAGAATTATACAATGACAAATGTAAGACGTCGTAATTGAAGCCAGTACAAGTTGCTCTATATCATAGCGACAAAGTTATCGCCCTAATCTGAAAACATTCTTTTGAATTTTTTTTTCTTTTCTGACACTTGCGAGGTTTTCATCTGATTTTTCCTTTACAGGAAAAGTGGGTGAACCAAAGATCATATGTGCCTGATGCTGATACTGTTATGCGTCTCTCAAGCGGAATGCAATTTAAGAAAAGAATAATAAGGCAATAAACTTGAGGTTAATGGATATTATAACCATCTTTAGATAGCGTGTATGCAGGATTCGTCACGACATCTGTTATTACTTTTACTATGTTCTTCTTTTATATATATATATATTTTTCTTTTTATTATTCCTTTCCGTATGGAGAGGCCAGTTAGCATATATACTCACTCACAGTTTAGTTTCGTTTTTCATGAGAATAAATTTGAATTTTACATGAGAGAAGATTTTGTTTTTTTTTTTTTATTCCCCTATAGTCGGAATATGTTTGTTTGTATAAAAGTGTGTGTGTGGCTGTTGCGCGTACACATTTGCGCCTTTAATGCGCTTATTTATCAAACAGTTTTTTGTTTATCGTTCATTTTACTTTCTACACGCTCGTGCACATCCATATATTCTGGGGTAGAATGGATGGAATGAAAGTCTTTTGCATACGAAAACAGATTTAATATCTTTTGCAAATTATACGCTTTATTGTTTTTGTTATCGTTGCTATTATTGCCATTACCGTGTTGTTCTTTGCTGCTTATTTGCCGATGAAGAGCTAGGAGTAAAGAAAAATGTTCGCTTCTTGTGCAGACATATACGCAGACAAAAATTAAATACAATTTAAAGTCAATTAGATAATTAGAGATTAAGAAAATTGGCTATTAAGTGGGTTCTGTTCCACTGCCAAATACCGATTGTAGTTAACTAACATATCGCACACATATGGATTTAACATTCACTCCCTCTTATTTTTGCAGCCAACGCTTCAAAATGCAATGAAGGTCAATTTCAGTGCACATCCACACACAAGTGCATACCCAACAATTGGGTATGTGATGGCGAATACGATTGTGGCACTCACGATATATCCGATGAAATCAATTGTAAGTATATTCCTGTGTTATGCTCTCCACAGCTTTGTCCTCCTTTGACTGGTCGAGTATTTGCTGTTTTTACTTGCTTGTTACAATTACATACACAATTTTTTACAATATGATTTTATGTAGGTCGCAACGATGAAGTATCTTGTCGTCCGTATCAGAGTAAATGCAGTAATGGCTTCTGTTTAGATATATCACGGTTTTGTGACGGTACCTGGGATTGTGATAACGACGAGGTCAAGTGCGGTAAATGATCAATTTTTACTTATGTTCAAATTCGATTAGTTCTCAATTTTGTCGAATTTTTTCTTTTTCCAATTATCTTAAATAACTAGATACCCAAGATGCGCAATGCTCAACGTTAAACTGTTCATTTAATTGTAAGCTAACACCATTGGGACCCACTTGCTATTGTCCGCCCGGTCAACTTACTATTAATGGAACGCAATGCATAGATTACGATGAATGCTCAGTGCAGGGCATGTGTGATCAATCGTGTCGCAACACTCACGGTTCATACGAATGCTCTTGTGTACCGGGTTATATTAAACAAAAAACTCGTTGCCTAGCTTTAAACGGTGAGTGCTATTAAATTTTTATAAACGTTGTGCTGCCTTTGTTACTACCAGTAAAGCCTAAAAAAAGTAAAAATGAGCCAAGAGAAAAGCAGAAAAACTATCAACCATACCGTCAGGCTTATTGTAAAAGTCTAAAAGTGTAGCATATCATATGGCTTTGCAATGCTTTTTATTATTTAAATTAAAATAAATTTTCCTTTTTGCTTTGTTTCATACATACACGTACGCGGATAAAAAGTAAACAAAGCGAAAAAGCATTTTAATTCCTGAAAAAAAATGTTCTTCAGCTTTTTGGTTTAAAATTTATTTTGATATAGTTTAGATTGAAATAAAGTAAATGTTCCGTTGCAGTGGGTAAAGAGCAATTCTTTTTTATTTGTACTTTTTTTGGTCCTCACCATCAAATGATGTTATGTATGTTTATTATATCAATGCGTTTGCAACTCATGGAACGCTGCTTCAGGGTTCCGGTACATATATATTTAGGACCAGTATCAAATTCAGAACCGACTTCGAGCACATCTACCTTCCTTTTGTTGATAACCTATAGTTAATAGGGGGGCTAAATCAGTCAATAAACACATCTGCAATATAACAACAAAAAAATTGTTTTTTTCTTATTGCTCTCATTGACCATAAAAGAAAAGAAGTGATCATAAAACAACGAAACAAAAATTAAAATAATCAAGCACAGGTATTTAATATCATAGAGTAATGAAATTTCACGTACCCTTATCTTACTTTTATTCATTATACCCTACAAGGGCCTGTGGCACAGGATATATTAAGTTACTGTAAACGTATGTAAAACGCAGAAAGACTTAGGATCGACCCACTTTTTATTATATATATAAGCCTGTCTGCCCGTCGGCCTGTCCGTCTGTCCATGGAAATTTATGTTTAAGCTACAAGTCGCAATTTGGCTCACAACAGTAAATTGAGTAGGTCTACTTTTTGGATACCACCACATATGAGAATATTCATGGGACGTACACCCTCGTATGCCGAAAACGCCTAATTTTTAATTTTTTTTTAAATGAAAAGTTGTTCGTGTTAGTAATTAAATAAAAAAGTTAAGTGGGCCTAATTTGAAACGCGTGGGTCTATTTCTTGGGTCCACTCCATATAAACAGTAAGCCCTTCGGAAAAAAGCTTAATTTTTAATATTTCGTAGAAGTGATTGAACAAAAAAATTAAAGGTAGGGAATTTGGATCACATAGGTCTATTTTTTTTGGACCCCAACATACTCCAGGCGTTATCACGAAAAGCAAACTCTTATATGGAGAGAAAGTCTAACCTTTTCATAAGCTGGCTTTCATGAAAATAATATGTACAAAACGTATGAACAACTGTCCAAGACGATGTGATGCAGAGTATGTAATAATCGGGCTTGCCCGGCTATAGTGTTCCGGTCTGTCCTTGCTTTCATTTTGAGTTATGCTATGTATATAAAAGATTCGGCAAAAGCTCAATACAATTTTCTAACCAAAAAATTTAATAATAATAAAACTCATTATTTACATGTAATTAAAAAAAAAATGTTTTTCTGGACGTCAGTACCCGAGAATGAACCTCCTTCTTTGGTATTCTTGACGCAAACTGAGATGCGTCGAATAAATGCCAACAACGGTTCTCTAATGTCACACATCAATTCAGCTGATGTATCCGCAATTGAGGTTTGGCATCGTAATCGCACTCTTTGTGCCATGTATTCAAGCCCTTGGACTGCGGTTAATATGAAATGTCATCGTATAGATGATTTGAATGTCAGCTGGGCAATGGTATTGCCGGAATTAATTACTAGTACACACTGTAAGTAAAGTCATCCAAGAATACATTTGTTTTATCCTCATATATGATAATTTAATTTACACACATATAAACATGATGCAACAGTTATCGATAAATTACGTCTCGATTGGATATCGGGCAATTGGTATTTTCTGAGCAACGAGCCTGGTTTAGTATTCATGTGCAGCAATTCCATGAAATATTGCCGTATCATCTTGGAAAACATACAAAATCCTTCATCAATGGTTTTGGATCCCACGAAAGGGTAAGCGGAGTTACATCTCTCGAAATACGTACGTTTGCTTGATGTTTACCGTTATCTCTTCTTACTTATAGTTTTATTTTTTTTACCGAATGGAGTCCGAGCTTATCACGCGCCAACCTTGATGGCACAAATCATACAATTTTGGTTTCATCTCAGATTTACTATCCCAGCTGGGTAACATTGGACTTACCAAATGAACATGTATACTGGATTGACATATATAAGGACTTTATTGAACGCGTTAACTATGAGGGCGGCCAACGATGGTCTATGAAAAAAACCCACGATGTAAGTTCAGCCACAAGACATTGATCTGCATGTCGATAATTTGCATAGATTTCATGTACGTTAACCTGCGTAATTTTCGAAAAATTTTTGTTCGTATTATGCTTTGTATGCTTTTTAGTTAGGCTAAATTAATTTGAATTGATGTTGTGATAATAATGTTCATTAACATGTGTGACTGAAAATTCACATCTACCATTCCTTAGGTTTGAGACAATTGTGATGTTTAGCAGCCATGTTAGCTTAGACTGACTTATTTATAAAGCCCTAAAAAGTTTACAATGAGAGTAAGTTTAGGTCTTGCCGTTCGTCGTCCAAATTGTAATAATAAGGTTACAATTATTTTTGAAAGGGTTTTTGCAATGAGTAGTAGCCGACAGTAGTCGTCTGTATGGAATTTTAGAATCGACAAGTCTTTTGAGTTGAAATAGAACAAAGAAGGCAAACACCTGCACTATTAGGTACTAAGACGAAGAGATATTATGGAAATGAGTAAACTTTGCTCCCTTTCTCTCTCTCTCTCTCTCTCTCTCTCTATTCCTTTGAGTCCCATACCTGTCGATTTTATTTAATCCTTTCTTTCTTATAGACTCACGTGCCTTTTAAAACTTTACATTCGGTAGAGATTTTTGAAAATACTGTCTTTATTGCACCATGGAGCGATACAGTGATCATTACAATGGATAGATTTACGCTGGAAGCAAAACAAATTGTTAGCGATGTTAAACGACCTTACGATTTTCGCATCTTTCACCGCCAAAAGCAACCTGTAGGTAAGTACTTATTTAAGTATTGTGTACGGTTGCGGCATAATGACTGAATGAATGAATGAATGAATGAATGAATGATACGGAAGTTGAGCTAAACCATAAATTAACGACATTTGACATGAGTTTGTAACTGTGAATGCGTTTTCTTTTATACTCACCGTTACGATGTTATTATTGCTTTTCTTTTGCTTTCCGTTTTCTCTCGCAGTGGCCCATCCATGTCGTGTTAACAATGGAAATTGTAATCAGATTTGTGTGCCGCATTGGACTAAAAGTTTCGCTGAAGCCAAATGCATGTGTTCACACGGTTATAAATTACACAACAATACCGAATGCGAGCTGCTGCGCTATGAGAGATTTCTCCTTGCGGCTCGTCAACGTTTGGCTAACATTGCTGGTATACCGTTAACGCAACAGCACAAGTATTTGGATGCAATGGTACCCATTTATAATGTCACTTGGCCATTGGGTGTTGATGTAAACGTCCGTCAAAAGTTGATCTATTTCATACAATCGAATAAGTAGGACTACATACAAACGAAATAGAAAAAGACATAAAAAGGTTTTAACAGAAAATTTTATTTATTTTTCTTCTTTGTGTTTTTGTTCTCACACACAAAGCCACGGTTTTCTGTTGCACAGTCAAAGCATTGATGGCAAACAACGCAAAATCCTTGCACAAGGAAGTGATAGCGCATCTGTGTTGGCATACGATTGGTTGGCTGACAATCTTTATTGGAGTGGTGTGGATAGCATACATGTGGCCTCTGTACAAAATATGAGCAAAATTGTTTCATTGCCCATTAAACGGGAAGCTATGTAAGTTTTTGCAGTCAAACCGACCAGAGATTTCATAACAATTCAGATTATGTCCCTGTGATAGGTCCTTAGCTATTGATCCTATTGGCGGATTCTTATATTGGTCACATTGGATGGCCGGAGAAAAGAAAGCAGTTATCTATCGTTCCTGGCTAGATGGTACCCACAAACACTTATTAATGGAATCAACAGCGCAAATGCCAATGAAGTGGCCCTTAAGTTTAAACATAGACCGGCGCAGCAAACATATCTATTGGTAAGGGCAAGTTTCATAAAAATTTTTTTTATTCAAAGCTTTCGCTGACGTCTCCTTAGGTGCGACGTAAAAGAAAGCACTATAGAGCGCATGAATTTGGATGGCACTAATCGTACAATACTCTTCAAAGATGGTCAATTCCATCCGATAGCGATGACGTTTCATAATGGTTTTATTTATTGGGTCGACAATAAAAACGGAACTATAAGGCGTTTTAATATCCATCACTTAAATCACTCGATAGCCAATGAAACGCATACCGAGGTTTTTTCTTTAGAAAGAGGACGTACATCGAATTTGCGCATGTTTGATATAGCGACTCAGCCGTTCGGTTCGAATAACCCTTGCGCCAATACATTATGTCCCGGCGTGTGCTTCAATACACCACTTTCGGCGGTTTGTCGTTGCCCAGATCGGTATTCTTTGAATGGTACAGGCTCCCAGTGTGTACCTTATGCAAAGGAAAAATTGGAAAAAAATTGTACTAACGGTTTTCAGTGTTCTGCCACTGAACAATGTGTAGATCTTAAGGATTTATGCGACGGTTTTGATGATTGCGATGACGCCAGCGATGAAAGCTTTGCAAAGGATGGACCTTGTAACCCACTTAAATGTGATCCGAATGTGCACTTCGTGTGTAACGGAAGGTGCTATCAACGCACATTGATGTGTAGTTCTATCAACTACTGTCCTGATGGAGAAGATCAACGCAACTGTGAACAGCATTCGTGTAATAGTCATGAGTTCACCTGCTTTAAAACAGGTAAATGTATACAATTATCTTGGGTTAACGACGGAGTAGTGGACTGCGGCCCCGACGATTCTTCAGATGAGGGCGATGAAGTTGTATTTGAAGAAAAATGCCCTGAACACATGTGTGAAAATGGTGTTTGTGTTGCGCTCTCGGCCATTTGTGATGGTATCAACCAATGTGGGTAAGTCGTCGTACGTAGCAAATCTTTCACCTTGAAGTCATTTTGTCCATACAAATATTTTTAATAGCGACAATTCCGATGAAAGTGATTGCGCAAGCATCGAATGTGGCCCTGGAGAACGATTTTGTATGCCCATTGGTTGTTATGATGAAACTAGTATATGTGACGGAATACACGATTGCTTGGATTTCAGTGATGAAAGCAATTGTAATACAACCAAAAGTGATAACCATGCTATCGGATTAGGTGAAGCACATCAATGTGGGCCCTTTGAATTTGGCTGCTCTGACCCATTTGAATGTATTCCGGACTTTATGCATTGCGATGGTGTCGATCATTGCTTTGATAAATCGGATGAATTAAATTGTACTGAAGTCCATGATTCTAAAGTGAATTTTAATGAAAGCATAATATGTCAACTCCCCGATCGTTTTTGTCCTGATTCCAATAAGTGCATAACCGTGCGTCAGTTATGCGATGGTAATATGGATTGTCCCGATGGTACTGATGAGGGCTTTTTGTGCTATGAAAAACTGTGCGAACAGACGCACGAATGTTCACATCATTGTCATAATGCTCCCGAAGGATTCGTCTGTTCCTGCCCAGCGCACATGTTCCTAATGCCCAATGGCAAAAGGTGCAGCATGCAACATGCATGCGAGCATTGGGATACTTGTTCACAGATCTGCAGCACAGCTGGAAAAAGCTACGACTGTAAGTGTCTCGACGGATACGATTTGCAATACGATCATTTTAGTTGCAAAAGTATGTCCTCCGATAATCCTTACATAATATTTACCAACCGCCAAGAGATCAGAGGGGTGAACCTGAAAACGTCAACTATAAGCAACTTTTATACGTCCTTGCGTAATACCATAGCTTTAGATTTTCTGTACAGCAACGAGTCTAGCCAAATTTTTTGGACCGATGTTATAGATGACAAAATTTACCGTGGTCAGTTGATGGGAGAAGTGTTGCATAAGGTGGAAGCAGTTGTACACTCAGGCTTATCAACTACAGAAGGTTTAGCAGTTGATTGGATTGGTTTAAATTTATATTGGATTGACTCGAACCTGGATCAAATTGAAGTGGCCAAGCTCAATGGAAGTTTCAGGCGTACTTTAGTAGCCGGTGACATGGAAAGTCCACGGGCTATAGCGTTAGACCCGCGTGAAGGTCTCTTATTTTGGACGGATTGGGATGAAAACTATCCACGTATAGAGCGCTGTTCTATGGCTGGAGAACAACGGCAAGCCATTTCTACGACATCACAGGTTTCGGCTGGTTGGCCTAACGGTTTAACATTGGACTACACCCAAAAGCGAGTTTACTGGGTAGATGCCAAATCTGATTCAATTTATACTATCAAATATGACGGTTCGGATGTTCACTTAGTTTTAAGAAATCGCGATATTCTGTCGCATCCATTTGCTATAACCGTTTTCGAAAATTACGTTTATTGGACTGACTGGAGAACTACGTCAGTAATTAGAGCAAATAAATGGAATGGTACTGACATTCAAGTCATACAAAGAACCCAAACTCAGCCATTTGGTATCCAAGTATTGCACTCGAGCCGACAGCCACATGCCGAAAATCCTTGTGAACGTAACAATGGTGGGTGTTCACATCTATGTTTACTGGAGTGAGTATACTAACAAAGGAACAAGAATAATATCGATTCAGAGTGATTAAAAAATTTTTATTTTCAGTCTGAAAGGTAGATATCAGTGCGCTTGTCCCCATGTTATGCGATTAGATTCGACGGATAATCGTACTTGCATAGCCAATGAACAAGTGTTACTGTTCATAATGGGTGATGAGATACGTGGTATCGATCTAATGCAACCTAATCATCATACCATACCGACTATACGGCAGTCACCACAAGTAAGTAGTAAGACAATATGAGCGACAAAAATGCCTTTCTAAAATAGTACTGACCTGCTGCAGGTCTTAGCACCTCAACGCATTGATTTCACGGTTGACGATAATCGCATTTATTGGTCGGATGTACAGTTAAATGAAATCAAAACAGCGGGAATTTCGAATGGTATCATCCAAACCATTATAAACACCGATATACAAAATCCGTTTGGTTTGGCCATTGATTGGATAGCCAAGAATATATATTTCTCTACAGGAAAAACAATATGTGATATATGGGCTAGCAATCTGAAAGGGGAATATGTCACTCAAATTCTTACGGGCCTAAATAAAATCGAGAGTATTGCTCTAGATCCGGCCAAGTAAGTAAGCAAATCTTTCAATTTCTTCATGCGGCCAATAATTCGAACGTTTTTTCTCGGTTAGCGGCAAAATGTTTTGGATTCAATCAGAGCGTTCCTTGCAACTATGGCAAATTGAACAAAGTAATTTGGATGGTTCAGGCCGTATTATTCTCTATGAATATAATAACACTTTATTATCATTGACAATGGACTATGAGTCTGAACGTTTGTATTACGTTTACGACAATTCTGGCATAGCATATTACGACTTTCAAAAACGAGAAGTGGTTGATGTTTTACCAGCCAGCAATGTTATGACCATAAGTTCAGTTACCATTTACAACGGCACCGTTTACTTTCCTGAGAATATACAAAGTGTTATAATGAGCTGCGATAAGGATAAATGTGCGGAATATTCCATGTTAAGGAAAAACACGAGTAATTAATCATTGCATAACGATTAATAGTAATATTCTGAATATAAATATCGCTTTCCTTCTTGGCAGAAAGTATTCAATCACTAAAAATGTTTTACGCTGAAGCCCAGGTGGGCTCAAATACTTGCAGTGGTCCTCTGAAAGGCGGTTGCTCTCACTTGTGTTTAGCATTATCGCCCACGGAGCATGCGTGTGCTTGTGCCATGGGTTATCGTTTCAATCCAGAAAACCCAACCCAATGTCTAGGATATGAGGAATTCCTATTCTATTCCAATCATGAACTAAAAGGATTAGAAATCTATGATCCTTTGAAATCCTTAGAACAGCAAGGACAAAAAATGGTAAGTGCGTTTTTAGAAACATTTAAGTTTTGTTGTCATTTAACTTAAAAAAAAACAGGCTTTGGGTCCCATTTCGCGAATTTCTTTGGCTTCGTTCATCGACTATCATGCTGCTCGAGACTACCTTTATTGGGGTGATAACGAACGCGGTACAATATCGCGCATTAAACGTGATGGCACCGGTCGCGAAGATATTATTAAGTCGTTAGATTGGATGGATAATCGTCAATTGGATTGGTTGGGTGGGTTGGCGGTCGATTGGGTAGCCGAAAATATATATATCAGCGATCTTAAGCGAAACATTATTGAGGTGGCCCGTTTAGACGGTTCGCAACGTTACGTGGTTATATCAAACGTGATTAAGCCTACGGCTTTAGCAGTAGATCCCGTTCAAGGTTTACTATTCTACGTAGCCGAGGGAATTATCGGACGTACCGGCCTGGATGGTAGCCAGCCGTTAGTTTTAGTAAACCATCAGAAACTTATCAACAATCTGGTTTTGGATATTGATAGCACCAGAGTTTACTGGTGTGAAAATGCCAAGAATTCTTCTTCACAGCCAGCTATTATGAAAGTAGATTATGATGGGAACCTTAAGGCGGCTTTATTGAATCACAGTTTAGAACATCCTGTAGCAGTGGCCAAATTAGATGATTATCTGTATTGGGCGGATAATAGCCATAATAAGGGTAGCATCAAAGTGGCTAATTTTAATGATTTAAACGATTCCAAAGAGCTAAAACGTTTGGAAGGCTACGCTCTGAAGGATATGAAAATATTTTCGAAACGTTTGCAGAAGGGCGTCAATTTTTGCTCAGAAAATAATGGGGGCTGCCAAGAGCTATGTTTATATAACGGCACTTCAGCAATATGCGCTTGCACGCATTCCCGAGTGGCTAGTGACGGCCTTTCTTGTGAGCCTTACGATAGTTTTTTGTTGTTCTCTTATCGAAGCACTATTGAAAGCGTTCACTTGACGGATCACACAAATAAGAATGGACCTGTCAAATCAATACATAATACCACCTACATGATGAACGTTATCGCTCTCTCTTATGATTACGAGAGAAGTCTGCTTTTCTACTCGGATGTAGTTCTTAGCACAATTAATGCAGTTTACTTCAATGGGAGCCAAAATCGTGTTCTAATTAGTCATCAAGGCCGTGTTGAAGGTTTAGCTTTCGACGCTGTCAACAATATGCTTTTCTGGACGTCGAATAACGATGCTTCAATTTGTAGTTTAAATTTACACGAAATTACCGATGGCGCTGACAATAACACCCAACTTGTAAGTCGTATACGTGTTCTAAATTCGAAAGACAAGCCGCGAGGCATTGCAGTAGAGCCTTGCTTGGGCATGATATATTGGACTAACTGGAATGAGGATTTGCCGTCCATACAAAGAGCTTTTGTAACTGGATTTGGTTTAGAGTCGGTTATACGTTCCGAAATTAAAATGCCCAACGCTATCACTTTAGATCTGGAGGAACAAAAGTTATATTGGGCAGATGCGCGATTGGACAAAATCGAAAGAGCCAATTATGACGGTACTCATCGTGTGGTGTTAGCTCATTCTACACCTAAACATCCCTTTGCTATAGCCGTTTCTGGAGATTTATTATTTTGGTCTGATTGGGTCTTGGGGGCTCTAGTGAGAGCTAATAAATACACCGGGGCAGACGTTGTATTTCTCCGTGATCGAATTGATCGTCCCATGGGTGTGGTAGCTGTACAAAATACTACCGTCAATTGCGATGCCAACCAATGCAAGATTTTAAATGGGGGCTGCGAAGATGTTTGCATACTCAGTAAAAATGGTACCGCCAGTTGTCAATGCACACGAGGTATACTAGCAACCGATGGCAAACGTTGCATACAGCCATTAAATACAAATTGCAAGAAGGATCAATTCCTTTGTCGTTCCGGTGAATGTATACCTTTAGATTTAACCTGTGACAGTATTCCTCATTGTTTAGATTCATCCGATGAAATGCGCAGTTATTGCATCATACGCGCCTGCCCTAAAGAATTCTTTATGTGCAACAATCATCGATGTATACCACAACAGCAGACTTGTGATGGAGTACATCAATGTGGTGATGGTTCAGACGAATCGGAATTAGTATGCAAATGTGACCCCGAAAAATTCAGATGCGGTAGTGGAGAGTGTATAGCTCATCAGTTTGTCTGCGATCATGTGCGAGACTGTAAAGATTTTAGTGATGAGAAAAATTGCCCGCCCTCCGAATGCCCCAATGGAAATGCGCTTTATGAACACTGTGCTAATTCTACTTACTGTTTCATGCCTGCCTGGCGTTGTGACGGAGAAGAAGATTGCCCCGATGGTACGGACGAACAAGATTGTGATCATGTCACAAAGGTAGCTTGCGGATCCGGACAGTTTCAATGCTCTAACGGTCATTGCATTAATGAAAAGTGGCGCTGCGACGGTGAAAATGATTGCAAGGATTCGCAAACGGATGAAGCCCTTAGTTCTGATGAGGTTGGTTGTCGTTTACAATGTAAGCCAAACGAATTCCGCTGCGATAACACTTGCATACCGAGTCAGTGGCAGTGTGACAACAAGCCTGATTGTGAAGATGGCTCAGATGAGGGAGCCCAATGTCAGAATCGGGTTTGCCAATCTCATTTATTTAAATGCAAATCATCTGGGCGCTGCATACCCCAAAAATGGGTGTGCGATGGGGAACGCGACTGTCCTGGCCAAGAGGCTGAAGATGAAGCTGAGCACTGCGCCGTTGCTTCAGTTCCTCACATAAGTAATTGCGCTGCGCCCTCTTTCCTTTGCTCAAACGGCGTATGTTTAAATAGTCGTTTAGTGTGTGACGGTGACAATGATTGCCCCAATGGCGAAGATGAATATGAGGATTGTATATCTTATGACACTAAGACGCTAGTTTGTTCGCCTTTTTCTGAGTTTCAGTGTCAAAACCTAGAATGTATTCCAAAAAATTTGACCTGCAATTCGCATCGAGATTGCTTAGATGGTTCTGATGAATCAGTTGAGCTTTGTGGTACTTTGCCTTTGACTTGTCTTCAAGGTCATCAATGTAAAAACAAAGCTTGTATATCCAAAGAATTTTTGTGCGATGGACGTAATGACTGCGGTGACTTTAGCGATGAATCACTATGTAACATCAACGAGTGCTTAACGCCTGACATTTGCGAACATATGTGTGTAGATAAGAAAATCGGTTATGAATGCCAGTGCCGAGACGGTTACAAATTACATGCGTCCAATCATCACTTATGTGATGATGTAGATGAATGCGCAACTGTTCACAATTGCACTCAAATGTGTGTTAATACTTACGGCTCGTATAAATGTCTATGCTCACAGGGTTACCAACTCAAAGATGATCAGCACACCTGCAAAGCCGTTAGCAATGAAACAGTTAAATTGATATTCTCAAATCGCTATTATATACGTCAGGTTGATATGCGTGGTAATGGTTCGATATTAATACATCAGCTATCGAACGCTGTTGCTTTAGATTTTGATTGGGACTCCAAATGTTTATTTTGGTCCGACGTCACAACGACTGTAGGCATGATTAAAAGACATTGTCAAACGGAAAATAAAACCACTACGTTGCATCAAGCTATGCTCAAGAATCCTGATGGCTTGGCAGTAGATTGGGTTGCCAAGAATTTGTATTGGTGTGATAAAGGATTGGACACGATTGAAGTGTCGCAATTAGACGGCAAATATCGTCGTGTATTAATCAATGAAAATCTTCGAGAACCTCGGGCTGTTGCCTTAGACCCTTATCATCGCTTTCTGTATTGGTCCGATTGGGGTGATAGTCCTCATATAGGCAAAGCGGGTATGGATGGTTCCAATGCTCGCATGATTATACGGGAGAATCTAGGTTGGCCTAATGCTCTAACAATATCATTTGAGAGTAATCAATTATTTTGGGGCGACGCCAGAGAAGACACAATTTCTGTGTCCGACTTAGATGGCAAAAATATAAGACTACTAATGGCTCGCAAATTAAATCCACATTTAAATTTGCATCACATATTTGCTATAGCCGTATGGGAGGATAAGATCTATTGGTCTGACTGGGAAATGAAATCAATTGAATACTGCAACCGATTTACGGGACAGAACTGTTCTACTCTCATAACAACCATACATAGGCCCATGGATTTAAGAATTTACCATCCGTACCGGCAACAGCAACCTTTGGTACCAGCTGGCAATCCCTGTATTCACGCCAACTGTTCGACCTTGTGCTTGCTAGCTCCTGAGGAACCATACTACAAATGCGCTTGTCCGAACAACTTTGTGTTGGATGAGGATGGCCAATCGTGTCATGCGAATTGTACAGCTGCGCATTTCCAATGTTCTCAAACTTACAAATGCATACCATTTTATTGGAAATGCGATACACAGGATGATTGCGGTGACGGTAGTGATGAACCCGAAAGCTGCCCGCCTTTCCATTGTGAACCTGGTCAGTATCAATGCGTAAATAAAAAGTGCATACATCCGTCAGCTATATGTGATGGAATCGATCAATGCGGTGACAAATCAGACGAACAAAACTGTGATAAATTTACCTGTTTTGAGAATCACATGAAATGTGAGGCCACTTCGACTACTTCGGCATTTTGTATAGACAACGTTAAGAAATGCGACGGTGTGCGTGACTGTCCCAATAGAGAAGATGAAACGGGATGTACACCTTTAAATTGCAAACCAGATCAATTTCAATGCGGTAATAATCGTTGCATACCGTACGTATGGGTTTGTGATAATGATAATGATTGCGCAGACAAATCCGATGAAATGAATTGTGAGCAGATGACTTGTGAATCGACAGATTTTCGGTTAGTTCTTCAAAATCTTTGAAAACTTGTGTAAAAATGCTTATTATTGTATGTTAACAGATGCAATTCTGGCCGGTGTATACCTATGGCTTGGCGCTGCGATGGCGAAGATGATTGCCCCAGTGGCGAAGATGAGCCTCCTACTTGTCATTCCTCTAAGGAGAATTGTGATCCCACGTACTTCAAATGCAACAACTCAAAATGCATTCCCGGCCGTTGGCGATGCGATTATGAAAACGACTGTGGTGACGGCAGCGACGAATTGAACTGCCAAATGCGAAATTGTTCGGAAAGTGAATTTAGATGCGGTACAGGGAAGTGTATCAAACATGATCATCGCTGTGATGGTGAGATACATTGTGATGATAGTAGCGATGAAATCAATTGCAATATCACTTGTAAAGTAAATCAATTTAAATGCGCTGCTTTCAATACGTGCATCAACAAGTAAGTAGATATGTAGATTCGCTTGATCCAAATCCGTAATGCGGGTTTTGGAAGTGCATAGAACCCTCAGCCCTTATGCTGTTCATAATTTTTTTGGTTACTTTTTCAGACAATACCAATGTGATGGCGATGATGATTGCCCTGACGGCTCGGATGAGGTACAGTGTACTTGTCCTTTTGATCATTTCACTTGTGCAAATGGGAAATGCATAATGTCCAGATGGAAATGTGATGGTTGGGATGATTGCACTGATGGCAGTGACGAAAGTTTGGCCACATGCGCGCATGTGCATTGTCATGCTAACGCTTTCAAATGTTCCAACCTTAAGTGCATAAGGAAATCTGCTCTCTGCGATGGTGTGAGTGATTGTGATAACGACGAAGATGAGTCGGATAAGGTATGTGCTGCTTTGCCCAAATGCCGTCATGATCAATTTCAGTGTGAAAATGAAGACTGTATATCGAAAAACTTTCGTTGTGATGGTCAATACAATTGCATTGACGGCTCGGACGAGATGAATTGTCAGCCACCTGTTTGCGGCTTTGGTACTTGCTCGCAAATTTGTATAGAAAAAAAGGCTGGCCATTTTAACTGTAAATGTACTGAAGGATATCATAAGGGATCACAAAAAAATGCGACTTGTTTAGCTTCGGGGCCCGATCAAGTCTTGCTTTTGGCCTCCGAGCAAGAATTTCGGTTTATTTTGCCAGCTAAGCAAGAGGGTACTACGGTGGTAGGCTTCTTTCAAACTGACAGCTTAAAGATTGATGTTTTCGATATATTAATAAGAGCCAAGGATACACTATTGTTTTGGATAGATTCTCACCATGGAAAAGTACATACTATGAAAATAGCCACCCCACAGCCGGAAGTTGTAACAGTAAGAATACGTCGCGACCTTAAGGAGTTAACTGCATTTAATGTGAGAAAAAATTACGAAAAAATTGTAATCAGATATACGAACAAAATTGTTTTTTAGATACCCGATCTAGATGATCCCAAGTCATTAGCTATTGAGTGGATTACCCAAATGGTTTATGTGATCGATTCGAAGCATAATAAAATTTTGGTAACAGATATAGATGGAAAAAAATATAGCACCTTGGTTTCGACAGGTTTAAATCCCACGGACATAGTCGTAGAGCCCGAATCGAGGGTCATGATATGGTCGACATTGGAAAATGGCATTTTAATGGCTTCGTTGGACGGCAGTAATAAAAAGAGCTTGGTAGAAAGAGATGTTGGCTGGCCAATTAGCTTATCTATAGATTATCCTACCGGGCGTTTATACTGGGCTGATTACCGCAAGGGTACCATTGAAACATGTCGTCTGAATGGCAAAGAACGTAATGTTGTTAGGAGATTCTCAAATAAGGAAAAGCCACAGAAGATTGACGTATTTGAAGATTATCTGTATATAAAGCTATATGATCAGAGCATAATAAAAATGAACAAATTTGGCAACGATAATGGTACCTATTTGTTGAAAGGTTACAGATCGTCGGATATTGGAATTTTACACCCTTTGAAACAAAATCGCAACAGTGAGTTTCAAATGATATACACATGTACTTGTTGATTGTTAATGTTTTCTTCATATGGTTCCCAGTAACAAATCCTTGCTCGAAGGAACCCTGCAAAACAAAACGTGCTCTTTGCATTTTGTCCTCCGAGAGTTCGTTTGGTTATAGTTGCAAATGTCCTAACGATTTAGTCGATGTTGAGAGTGAATGCAAAGACCCGACGGAGATACCTAATTATTGCCCTTTACCTTGTAACCTAGGAACTTGTAAGATTGTGGACAAGGTACCGAAATGTGTATGCCAACCGCAGTTCGAAGGAGAATTTTGTGAACATTATCGTTGCTCGGGTTATTGCCTAAATTATGGTTTATGTGTAATTGCTCCACAAATACCCGGATCTTCAGAACCCCCTCCTTTAAAATGCAGCTGCACGCCTGGATGGTCGGGACCACGTTGTGAGACCTCTGTACCGGAATGTCAGAGTAGATGCCATAATGGTGGTTCTTGTCTGATAACTGAAGAAGGTATGAAATGTACCTGCCCATCTATGTATTTTGGAGAACAATGTGAACATTGCATTAATCTAACTTGCGCCAACGGTGGCATTTGCCGCGAGACCCTGACCGGTGCTACGCAATGTGAATGTCCAGATGGGTATGATAATTCGAACACTACCTTCCTCTTAAATTGTTCTGATCCTTGAAAAATTTAGATACACTGGCAAACGCTGTGAAGTGAATGTCTGTTCAGACTTCTGCAAGAATGGCGGCTCGTGCAGTATTGGCTCTAAAGGTGGTCCTTTATGTCAATGTTCACCCGGTTTCTATGGCGAACAATGTGAGTCCGATTCTTGTGCCAATTATTGCCTCAATGGTGGGCTCTGCGCCGATCGCGGTCAAAAACTGATTTGCACTTGTTCGGAACGCTTTGTAGGAGAGCGTTGTGAAACTGATCTATGTAAGACTTCCAGTCCGCCACAATGTAAGTACATCGTTATAATGGATATTTATTGAATTCTTGTGACGAGTGTTTTTCCGCCAGTTTGTGATGCTACAGAAATTCCGTCCCGAAATCCCTGCGTTGGAATAGTGTGTCAAAATAGTGGCATTTGTCACATCATAAAAGGTGTGGCCATGTGTAATTGTACAGATCAATGGAATGGCGAATTCTGCGAAAGACCTTTCGCGGATGATAATCCATGTATACGTTACTGCCGCAATAATGGTGTTTGTCACTTGGACGCCTACACTGTGCCTCACTGTTCTTGTGTAGGCGAATGGGAGGGTGACGCTTGTGACAAACCACCGGAATGTATTAGCGAATGTGGTGTTTGTCGTACGGGCAGTTCAATCAACGAATGTATGTAAGTATAAATATGGGGAAATAATGAATGAATATTGTTATATTTTATTCTCATCCTTGAAACGTAAACTCCTTAAAAGAACTTGTCCAAAGAATATTGTATATCTCGTTACTTTAGGTCAAAAAAATGACAACTAAGGCAATCAGATAAGAGATTAGTCATCAGGTTTCACTTTCTGCACCCTACACCACTTCTTATGCAGACTACGTTAAGTTTGTGCGGATATACGTAATACTCAGAAAACCTTTTCTTATATCGATCGCTTTATATTTTGAAAAGGCTTAAACTCATCTGTCCATCTGATGTCTTCCCATGCAATTTTGTATTCAACCCACATGTCCCGATTTTAAAATGTTGTGACAAATGGGTTGGATTATATGAAAAAATTTCCAAAGCTTAAAATTTTTCGACAAAAATCGCCGAGAAGTAGTATTTTGGATTTTTAAAAAAATTTGTGAAAAATTTGGATCCAGTCGGTCATTTTTCGAACCCTCTCCCATATAATCCGCAATAAGACTAATTTTTAATATTGTACGATGAAAACTGCTCTATAAAAATAGTTTGGACCATTTGGGTGTATTTTTTGCAACCTATCCCATATCAAAGTTCTTACAAGAAATTTAGGGACAAAAAAAGTCAAAAACAAGTGAAATATCTATAGTGGGACATGGCGCACAATCACTAAATACGCTACACCACTTCACTTAATATTCATATGACATATTCCAAAATGCAGGCGGACCGACGGACAGCCAAGTTCCGATTGATTCAGGATTCAGATTCTATTGGTATCATAAAATGTCGTTTTATCTAAAGTCCTTCTGAGTGTTGCATCCATCTGTACGAACTTAATAGACCCTTGTACCACAAATTATGGAACTTATAATATTAGATCTTTGAGAAGAAAATTAATATTACTACATTTCACGGGACCGCCTTCCTCACAACGCCGTTAATTGAGAGTATGTCTTTACATGGAAATTAACGCATAATTTTTGATATTTTACTATGAAAATTAGTGAACTGTGACCATATTAAGGGGAATATTGCAGAACATATAAGATTTTTCCCTTTTCTCGCTTCGCGATGATAAATCGAACTTATCCATAACTTGTGTATGTATAACTCCATGGGTTGTACGCTAACATTTAAGAGGCAGAACGCTTATGGTAAGACGCAGTTCATGCTTTGTTGTAAGGGGGGAGACGACAAAGGGAGTGGCCATAGTTATATCAGGATCTGCGTAAAAACGAGTAAAAACATTATAATCGCACATTTGCGGCCATTAAATACCCCACGCAAAAGACTTTAATAGCTTTTAATGTAAAACTTTTTTTGTTATAAACTTGATTTTTTTTATTTCCAGCTGCAATGATGACAGAATAGTACCATGTTTGGCTGATAGCGCTGATGCTTTAAGTAGTGAACGACAACATTCAGCTAATGTTTTATCTATTTTGGCCGCAGTGCTGGCGTTAGCTATTTTGCTGATAGCACTACTCGGTGGTGGCGTGTACCTGATAAAGTAAGTGAAATTGTTGTTGTTGTTGTTACTTAGTGCAACGTTTTTCTTGGACTATAAAAATTTAGTATATTGTTTCGTATGAGGAATACACATAGGCGATCCAATAAGGTATACTTTTAATTAAAAACTATTTCTGAATTGCTTTAGTCGATGAAATTTTCCAAATGATGGAACCTCGTAACAGTCGTAAATGATTTCAGTGTACAAACCACAGTCACGTTTTTGATATATTTTCATATTTGGAAGCGTATGCTTCTAAATTTTGTACAAATATTATTCAAGGTTTGAAATAGATCCACGCTGATATAATATGTACCCACAAATTTTTTGCTCCTAAAACTTTTATCAATAAATTAATAATATTCATTAAGAATATGTGATGGATGATTAATGAATGAATTTAATGCAGGAAACATCGAATTTCGCAGCCATTTTCACATGCTCGCTTAACCGATAATGTTGAGATTATGTTAACCAATCCCATGTACAGAGGAGATGCTGATGACACGCCCGCATTTGTTCACGAAGATGATAAAGTAAGTAATGGTGAAGAAACTAGAGATTAGGCGTGTAAAATGACTGAAGTTCTTCCCTAAAGGGCAACTTTGCTAATCCCGTTTATGAGTCTATGTATGCTGATGCCATTGTTGAGCCACCTATACCGGAGAACGTTTTAAGCACGGCACCAGATGAACGTAAAGGTCTTCTACAGCATTCACACGATGATAATCACACACCTGATATTCTTTGATGATTAACTATGCATGAAATTTGCTAAAAATCAATTTTTAAGCCATAATTAGTCATTTAATTATAGTCCTAAAACATCACACACCTATTGTAAACAGTAACAATCACAACAGCAACAACAAGAAAATCAAAGCAATTGTCACTGACATCACAGCACAAAATTATACTTGAATTCTAAGAAGAAGAAGAAGAAGAAGATACACGTATAAGAACATATTTGTTGAGATAGAACAATCCACACACAATTTAAGCATCTTCCTTCGCAATAATAATCCTAAAAAGAGAATTTTTTTTTGTACTTTTTGAAAACACGAAGAAAATGAAAATAATGATAACAACAATAAGAACAAGGACTGATAGTATAGTTATTTCTTTGAACAAACAGGAACAAAACGAAAACATGATGAAATTATTTTTATTTGTTTCATATTTTTTATTGCTTTCAATTTATAATGGAGTTAAGTTTAAAGAAAAAAAAAAAATTTTTTTTTTTTTACATTTTTTTATATTACAACTTCCATCTGCAATATATTAGACAATTATTGTTATTATGCTTAACATGTTCAGAAGTGGCCTGTTACAGTGGAATCCTTTTATATATATGGACTTGTTTATTAGCTGTTAGCCAGTTATTTTGGTGCATCAATTAACACAGAGTGGTTCTTATAGTCAAAGTGAACTGAATAATTTACGTGGATTACCTCTTATAAAGTAAAGTGTACGTCAATAGTTACCCATTTTATCCTTCTTTCATTTAATATATGTATTGATATATCCTTTTTATTACGAAACACATACTTAACATTTTCACTTTTCTTCCTCTTTCGCACAGAAAACATTTGTGCCATTTATAAGTCATGTATCGTGTAAGACCGATGAAGAGAGCGAGCTTTAATATAAGTTATTTCGTTGAAAGCAAACCATCCATGTCTAAATCTAAAGATTTTTCCCCTTCTCTCTAAAAAATATTAATCTAAAGGAGAAATAGTTGTTGAATGCAGAGGAAACTTATCATCGTAGGCTTAAAAACATTCAGTCAAGTTATTCTCCGAAGTCCAAAGTTCGAAGTTATGCAATTACATAACAAGCATTCAATTCATTCAGCAATTTAGCAACGAGACTGTGTATCCATGACAAGGTCATAACCCTTTCTCGTGTTTTTCTCCCTATTTAAGCTTGGGAATCTGCCCTAACTATGAACTTTGATTTCCCTTCAATTTCCAAATTTCAATAAATTGCAACATATTAAGCGTGCACAACAACAATTTTAAAACATTCTCAAAAATTGCAGCACGGCGGCACGTATATTGTGTCACCGCCGCAAAAGACTTTTTTGAGGGAACAGAACATATTGTCCTGATGAAATGGAGTCAATCATCTAACGAACAACAGTAGTCCTTGGCTGTCTTCCCTTAAAATTGGTTCAAAATTAACGTGTAGTCTTAAGATCTGTTTAGGGAACATTGCGCAAGATAATTTATGTCTGTCCCTCGTCATATTGTGTTTAGAATTTCTTTCATTAAACGAAATATTTTTTTTTTTTCATATGGAGGTTGTTAATTATTCGGTTGTTTAGCCGAAGTCGGAGCTATTAGTCGCGCATTTGCTATTTTCAATTTAACAAATTTTTTATATATATATATATATGTATATGTATTTTTAATATTTTAACATAACGATGGCAATGTAAAGTAAGGCAGCTTTTTTTTTATCAACGAACGTTTTTCTCTATTTTGTTTTAGTTTTATTTATTATATATAGTTATGTAAATTAAAAAGAACAAAATTGTACAATATATATAATACTCTCTATCTTCTTCTATCCATGTATGTATATGTATGTACGTGTATTGTAGCATATCTTGTAATCTTTTTTTCTAATTGTAAGTAAATTTATTAATAGTTTAAGAGAACAAAAAGTGAAGCAAAAAACAAAAAAAATAATAATAAACAAAAAATTTCAAATAAAAAAAGGAACGAAAAGAAACTTTAAATGTGGGTTGATTCTTACTGTGATGACGAGCATATAAAAATTTAATCGACTCGTAAACTGCTTTTTGCGTGTTCTTCAAAACTACGAGTCTTTCCTTCCCTATACTATCGCTTAAGTTTTGCAATATTCAAGCCAGGGCCACTAAATGCGTCGACGACTTCGACGAGAAAGACATTCTTTTGGGCTTCTGCTTAATCTTTGGATACCATGCACTTAGACAATCTTATTCGTTGTTGGTTATTTAGCTTTCGCCTGAGAAATAGACACAAATTTTTTAATAATTATTTATGAAATTGTGAAATTTCGAAATCCATTTTTTTTTTTTTTTTTTTTTTTTTGACAGCAAGAATTCTCTAACTCGCGAATATGAAAAATTGACTTCAGAATATATGCTGCAAAGCTGTTGCGATGGATATCAAAAATTGAAAGGACACCTTGAGATCAAAGAAGCTAATGATATCCTATTGAGGCTTACTTGTTTTGAAATATTAACTTCTAAAATGTTAGTAATATTTTTTTAGTAAACTCTACTAATTTTATGCATTCTTCTTTCTTCCTTTTGAAATTTTTCCATTTAATCAGCCTAAACCTACAAGTCTCTGCTAGTTATTCACTTAAAACTTTCGAGTCCCACAATTATGCCTTATCACCGTTAAAACCGTTGAAATTATATACTGGACATTTGATTCAAATATCTCATTGGTTTTATTTGCACATCACTTAAGATTTATATAACCAATGTAGAAATTTGCAAATAGATAAATTTTTTCACATCGTTTTAATCATTTACTATATCGTTGGTTTTATACTCTACACACTCCACTTGTGGCACAGAGTATATTAAGCACGTACACGCAGAAGCGTTTCATTTCTTTATTATATCTATCAATTCAGAAACTGATTCTGAACCGATCTAAACCTGTCAGTCCGTTATATCTTCATTTCAATTAGCGTTTAAGCAAAGGTAGGAATTTTTGAGATATTTTGATGAAATTTGATACACTGATGTATTTTGATCCAAGAACGAACCCGTATCGGTTCACTTTTTCGATCACTCCCCGCAAAACACCCTGTTTTCGAAAGTTGTTATATGGAAACAAATGAAAATTTTGAATATTTCTTGACGAAGTATTTCGGCATTTATATTGATGTGAAAACTTTTGGACCGTGTCGGACAATATTTCGAATCCCTTCTCATATGACGAGAAGTCGAAGTTTGTGTGGCAAAAAGTCTAAATTTCAATGCTTTACTATGAAAATCAGGTCGTAATATCTGTACCAAATTTAGACCATCTCGACCCATTCTTTGGGCCGTACCCTATGTAAGTATTGTCACGAAAATTTTTGTTTTGTAGGGTAGAAAAGACTAAATTTTAATATTTTACGAGGAGAACTAAACCATAAAAACAATTCGATATACAAATTAACTCTACAAACTTTGGACCACGTACGCCTACTTTTACACCCTGCCCTATATGAAGGTTTTCACGAACGTTTTTGTTTTTTAGTGCACAGAAATCTGGGCTTTATCACATTGTGATGAAAATTGGCTCATAATAGCTGTTTGACATAAGAATTAACTAATCTGAATGTTGGACAAGTCCCTTAATATTTGAACCTTTTGGAAATTACCATTCTTACGGAAAATAAGCTTTCATTCGGAAAGAGGTGTAATTTTTAGTATACAGTCTCATAATATTAAGTTCATATAAAAACAGGTGTAATTTTTGTGTTCTATGGAAAAATTAAGAATTGTGGTGTAGGGTATTTAATAGTCGGCCTAACCCGACTATTATGTTTTCACTTGCTATGCAGTTGCTTCATTCTTTTATTTGTTCTATCGATTTGTTGTTAATTTGAAAAAGTCTGGAGACAAGATTTTACTAAACGGAATGGAGGCGTGGAATATAAACGTTAGTGAAATCCAAGTGACTAAAGAACCTTTTAGAGAACGTTTTAAAATGATAACACTCTTATAGATTTATTTTATTTTTTTTTTCTGTTGTATTTATTTTAACTTATTTGTAAAGTTAATAGAATTTATTAAACATTTTTTAACTTATTTTCTATTTTTATTTATTTTTTTAAATTGTTTTTGAGTGGTTTTATTTTCTCTTTTTTAAACTGCTTTTATTTTATTCTGTCATTTTAATATTTTTTGTTAATTGCTTCTAATTTTAGGTAAATTTATTTTTTATTATTTAAAATTTTTGTGTTTCACATACATTCTCATTAGTTGTCTCAGTTACTTTTTATTACTTACAAACTTACTTATAATTCTAAACGTTTTGCGTTTACATAATTACGTTTCTATGATGTATGTATGTATGTATGTGTGTGTGTGTGTGTGTATGTGTATATATGTGTGTTTATATAGTTGTTCAAGTTCACTTTCGTTATTTGTGATTTAAATACAATTGCTTCCCTTAAAACCGTTTTATTTCAGAATTCTTACTGAAAAGATTTCTACTAAATTTTATTGATTTTTTTATTCCTTTTGTTTTTGATTTGATCTTTTCCTTTTCACGTGAGTGCTGAGAATATTTGTTATAAATGTTAATGTGCAATTAATCTTTAAAGAGGCTGCAGGCAGTTTTCATGATGTTTTTAACAACTTTTTTTGATCATCATTTATATTGTCGTTAGAAAATTGAAAATTATTTTCCTTTTATTAATTATAAAAACAATAATAATAACAATTTTGAAGCTTACCGTTGCATCGATCGATACATTATAAATGCAAAATATTTCGTTAAGTGTGCGGGAATTAATTAGAGAATCGTAACCATTTTTGCTGATTTTAAGAAATTCGCTCGCAAGACATAATACTTACTGAAAGCAAGATATACATTCTTGTCTACTTTTTCACTGACGCACTAAACGGTACTTAAAATCGGTTTTGCGTTCGTCTTATGTATACTAGAAAGGTGGCTGTGAGTGTGTGTGGCTGATGCGTATTCTTGTACATAGTCCATGACCATCTACTAATTGGTAAGGGGTAGATGGGAAGTTTCGGCTAATATTTTTTGAACCACGGATTTACGCACAAATTTAGTTAGATCAAGACACAAATCTTACATCTACGCTGATCATGGTTGTATAACGCACGCCTGGCAAGTGGTATAAATCAAGGCACGTTTCTGTTACAAATCCATGTTTTCGAGAAGGCGTGCAATTAGAATTAATAAAACTTTTTTGGGAGGCTAATAATGACCCAAACTGAAAGAAATATTTTTGGTTATATTTAGAAGAAAAAAAAGCAAACATAATGAATACAATCGTCAAAAAATTAGTTTGCTCTTATGTACTGTGTTATTAGCGTCGCGAATGAATCAAGGCTATTTGAAACCGGATGTAGATGTAGAAAAAGAATATTTCGTTTACGGAGTTGCAACTAAACAGAAAATGGACCTCTTTGCCACACGCCTAGTATACATGTACTCCACAGTTTTATTAAAAAAGACATATATTTGGCTCTAAACGAATATGTTATTTTAGTACTCTAAGAATAGGATACTAATCAAATTTAATAATCATTATCTGTGAACCGATTCAGCAAAGTTTTTAAATTTAATCTAATGGGAATAAAAGGAAAACATTTGATGCTTCAGACAAAGTTTACTGCTTTAGCTGACATACAATGTAATCGGTAAAACATAACTGACGGTGGATGGTGACTCTCACGGTATCTTATGAAACTAAAAGGAGTTTAAGCAATAAGTAAAGCTCATCAAATATGAATGTGCGAGAGACTGTCTACAAAAATGAAATATATACTTTTACATTAGTTTCATAATTTATTAACTCGTATTTGTTTTTTTTTTTTTTTAATTTTTTCTCTAAGAAAATATCTCTTTTGTATATTTTTAAAGAAAAAAAAAAAGTATTATGAGCAAACATTATCATTCTTCTTAAATAAATCTCATTTTTGTTTTAGATTAATAAAAATTCTTAATGTAAAAGGTAATTAATTTAAAAAAATACGTCTTTTTCAAAAAATTGAAAAAAAAAAGAATACTTTTTAATTGCTATGGAAGGTAAAGGAAGAAATTGGGCAAACAGACATTTGCATTAATTTTTTCGTTAGAAAACTTTAAATCAATTTGAAATACTATAGAAGACAAACAACAAAGGTTATAAAGAAAATAAAAGTAATAATAGCATTTCAATATTAATACTAGACAAATGTATAAAGTAATGTTGTCGTAACGAGAATTATTACTTTTAATATTTCATAAAAGTTCTTAACAGGTAAGTGTTGTTGTTTCCAGCTGCACACAATTTCAAAATAATGCTCTAATTATTAAATGAAATTCAAAAAATTACATAAAATTATTCGTAGACAAAGGCAACTCTAAGACTAAAATTCGCATGTACAAAGTTAAGCAAATAATATCGCAAGCGATTTTTCTCCTTTTTATATCAACTTAGCTCTTATAAGCTTGTCAAAAATCCCATTCTCATTGTATACTTTGTCTCATAAAATTTATCGCATGCAATAAATGTAAAATACATGAAATCAAAATATAAAATGCTTAAGCAATTGTGTCCCATGTGTTATATTGTAGGTCGAAATTTAAATTTGACATCATAAAAAGCAAAGTATTATTGCGAGGAAAAATAATTATATGCTCTCAGAAACCTATCTAACCTAACGTTCGGTTATCGTAAAAGAAAGGGAATTTTTTTAATTGTGCAAACCGTTAGAGCTATTAAATATGATAAATATTTGCAACAAAATTGCGGATCAACATATACATATAAGTTGGTATAAATTTTATAAATTTTTCTTTCATTTCTCTAGCTTTTCATAAATCTTTCCGACTATGCGTGAAGAACATTTGTAACAAGTTAAAGACTGCTAGCAATCGACATAAGCGCATGTCGATACAAAAATTACATGCTATACGAAGTCTTCCAAGACTGTCTTCAGATGTTACAACAAATAATTATTAGGCCTTTGCCTCTTGGTACAAAACTAATTAAACAAAACGAATTCTTATCAATTCTCTATTGTACACCGAAAGTTTTCCATTCCATGTTTAGGCCTTCTTTTAACAATTTCCGGCGTATTTTTTTGCCTAAAGAAAAGGAAAAAAAAAACAAATCTTGGACATTTCGTCTCAATAATAAATAATAATAAAAAGAAAAACGAGTCGTATCATATATTAGAAAAAAAAAAAAGAAAAAAAATATGGGAAAAATATTTCTAATCCTACTAACTATATATACAGTTTTAGAATCTTTTCGAACAACAACTTTAAAACTGTTTGTGTACCCTTACGCAATATATTACGCTCGTCGTTGTCGTCTTCACATCTCTATGTAAGTAAAAATTAAAGTTAATACCTTTAAAAAAATTATTATTGCGTACAAAATAAACTATTTATCGCTCTAGTAATCATATATAAAATACATAATAAGAATAATTTTTGATACAAATGTATATGTATACGTATATAATAAACAGTTAATCTATCCATAAGCTATAGAGACATTACAAAATTTTTAACATAATTGTTAAAAAGCTAGTCTTAAAAAGTGACTTTTGAACAAAATTGCTTACATTTGATATAGTAACAAAACAAAATATATATATATATATATATATATATGTACTCGTAAAGATTTCAAAATAATATTTTGGGAATTTTTTTTGTTTTTTGTTGTTGTTTTGTTTTTTTATAAAGAATACAAAATAAATACAAAACGTATGACGTATTTGTAAGGATAGAGTACGCAGTTGTGTTATAAATGTTTCAAAACCGATTATATAATAAAAATAAGTTTTTAAAAAATATTTTCTTTCCTTGAATTTAATACTAATTTAGTATAATTTTTATGTGTTTCTTTTAGATTTAAGGTTTTGCTTTTCTAATTTGTCTTGTTTTTTCTAATTTGTCGAAATGTTTGTTTTGTTTGTTTGGTTTTTTTTTTTTTTTTTTTTTTTTAATTACAGTTTTATTCATATAAAGTTTAGTAAATGGTTTCTTTAATAACTAGCTTCATGGCCAGCTAATATATAAAGATCGTGACCTTCTTCGCTACCTAACGAACCAGTGCGCAACAATTGACTTTCCAAAGCTACAACTCTGCAATTAGAAATAGATTAAAATCTTGTAATTTGTGTGTGTGCGCGTGTCAGTGTTTTTTTTTTTAAACATCTACTGGAACTTACTTATCACTACCCAGCAAACGATATGTACGGCTCATATCTTTGATTTCTTGTGTTATTTCACCGTTACGTAACGACTTGCCTTGCATGCCGTTCTTATGGAATGCCAGCACGCTATCGGGTAAACAGACTACGAGAAATAATAAGAAAAATCTATTACATTCTTATTAATCAGAAGGTCTAGATTTAATAAATGCATATACAAATTTTGTTCATGTATTTTGTCCGAATTTAATCTTTAGATTCGTGCAGATATGACATTTTGTCGTATAAGCACATATTTACGTTTAGTATACATATATATAGTAGGCATGTTCAAAAAAGAAGGTAAATTTTGTTTTTCTGGAAAGATATGTGTTATAGTTAGTCATCCCCCTTGTAGATAAAATAGATTTGTGCCAGTGGTTTCGCCAGCCCTCGAAATTCTCTGATTATGGGCTTTTTGATATGGTCTTAAACTCTATCAGCGATGCGATCTTCTGGGAAAAGAAAAAAGTCGTGGTGGTGAGAAGGGGGGGGGGGGGGGGGGGCGAATGTTTCGGTACAAAGAATGCGGTTACGAACAGAAAATAATGCATTATCGTTCCATGCATTTGATGCCCAAAAAATCCGAAAAATTGCATGGCATGAGCTAAGCGACACGCAGACAATCTCACCAACTTTTTTTTAGTAATGGTCCAATGATTCTCCATAACAATTTTTTCCATTGCTTCGTTAGGGCGTCACTAATATCTCCCCGGGCTTCTGTGAAGAGCTTATACCACTTATAAACTCTTTTTTCTTTTTGCTCTAGGTACACTCGTTAAATGTCCCAGTCAGCAGCACTTGATTTTATTTTTCACATAAAATTTAATAAAGATTCTTCGATCCATCCACAAGACATCTAGCCTAACCTTTATATTTGTCAAAAACAAACTCAAAATGCGAAACGATTGACAATGTCAACATATGTTGGAGGAGGTGGGGGCATATGTATCAACATAAATTAATGTACATAGCCCACGAAATTCGCAAAGTCATCTTTTTTTTTGAACACAACTTGTATATATGTATATGTATGTTAAAGTAATTGCAGTATTTAGGAGCAACAAATTTTTACCAGCATTTTAAAAGATTGTATTGTAGTTTTGTAAGTTAGTTCTTACCTATACTATCTACATTAAAATCGAAATTCAATTGTGAGATCATTTTCTTATGTTGCTTTGGATTTCCCTGTAGTGTTACCACTTGTATCACATTACCGTAACACACCAAAATTGCATCCTTTTCCACTTGATGAACTTTAACCACCTTGAGTAGATCACGGCGTGGAACCATAGTGGCCATCGCATCATATTCCAAATCCTCAGAATGAAACCAACTGGCGCCTACAAAATTGTAAAAGAAAATATAACGGGTAAGTATAATCGTTCCAAAATCTAATTTGCAATCAATACCACTATTCATGTTAATTAGTTCCAGCTTGAGACAGCCATTCAGAGCTTTACGAACACCGGTACACACTATCGGATATTCCAATTCGGGTGTGATAATCATTTCAAAGACTGGCGTATGACCATTTTGTACACAACCGTGGCCGCCGCCCAATATGCTGGTTGTCGGCCATTCACACTGCTTAAGCAGCATGAATTTATTTAAAGGATCATACCATTGCATTAGGAATATACCATTCGGTGTGGCACCACATAAATACTTATAACCATTGTACGGATTACGCGTAACACAACATTGGGTACAACCTTTGGTGTCCGGTACCTTAGTGGTGAGAGCGAATTTCCGTGGCACCAGTCTTTCGGGAATTTTGTTCATGTGTACTGAAAAACGATGCGTCTGTTTCGAATGCAAAGCCACTAAATCGTGACGATATAGCTGACACGATTTGCCTGATAGGCTCATAAGTACGTCCTTTATGACATACAGCCAAGTGGTACGACGGGGAAATAATTGATCTATGGCAGCATCGTGTAATTCGTTCATATTCAAATTGAAAATACCCTCTTCTGCACCGATCAAAAGATGTTGATCTCGCGTTTCCGGATGAATCCATGAAGCCGTGCAATGTATTCGTAGGGGACAACCATTGAATATTTTCGAAAAGCAAGCACCCATATGAACTTTGGGGGTAGGGGGCAGGCCATTAGAAATGGGACGAGGCGGTGTATGACGTCGTCTATGAGAACGTTTAGGAGGCACAGGCGGTGTATTGTTCAATAGGTCCGGTTGAGCTTCTTTATCAACTAATATCGAAAGGATAATAAGAAGAGAAAGTATGAAAAACTAAAACACCAACAACAAGCCTAACGGGACAGCATGCTCCCGTTCCGATTTGATAATAAGAATAATAACTATTGGGTAATGTATACTAACGTTCGTCATCATCTTCTTGGGCACCGCCATCGCTAAGACTGCGTGTACGTGAAGATTTACCCATATCGTTAAGCAGACCGAGTAACTGATCCATTGAACTATGGCGTCTCGGTGAATCTTCCAAACCATTCTGAAAAATAAAAATTTATTAAATTTCCTGCTTCTCTGTAGAATGTAAGAGAAGGACGAGCGAAAAATTGCGGACCTGTTTACTTTCATGATGATAATCACAGTTGTGGTGGCTGTTACTAGGTAATGACTCATTGGCTGATATTGCTGTCGTTGTTTTCGACGATGCAGTAGTGACCAATGCTGTGTAAGTTGAAGTAATGGCTGCCGAGGCTACCACATCGCTGGTATTGTTGCTATTTAAATAATTGGAACCATTATTACGTAACAGCAGTTGATTAAAGATTTGTGTTGCAGAGACAGAAACAGTATTGAAGGAGAAGGAATTGTCGAGCATTGTTGTTGTGGTTGTTGGTATTACAGTTGAAAAATTGGCCACATATGTGCCATTGTTAGTAGTATTATTAAAACAGGAAGTGGAAGAAGAAGAAGAATAAGTTGCTGCCGAATTACAAACGGGATGCAAATGACCATAAGCGGTGCTAACACCACTGCTACTACCACTACTACCCCCCACAAAATTACCACTACAATTACTATTACTACTATTATTGCTAGTTGCAAGTTCTTTAGAGTGATTGTTAGTATGAGAAGATGAAATAGATGTCGAAGAAGAAGCAGAAGCAATAGAGTTTGTATAATAATCTTGGCTATGATGACGATGATGGTGATGATGAGAATGATGCGAATAATGATAACCGCTAACACCACCACCGCCATCATGATATGTATCACCGCCACCACCACCACCGCCACGTATATCTGAACCGGAATTATCTAAAGGATGATGACTATACATGGAGGCTGATGTTGACAATTGATGACCACCATTCGTTGCTGCAGTTGCTGATGCTATTACTGTTGCTACTGTTCCTGTTGTTGTCGCTGTTGCTGTTGCTGTTGCTGTTGCTATTGCAGATGATAGCGTATTGTTAGCGTAATTACCGTTGCCAGTCGATATCGATCGGTTGTGGTTGAAATTGTTATGGACTCCGTGCCGTAACATATCGAAATGAGCAAATAATGATGAATGATTCGATTCAGAAGCATCTAAAGCGGTAGTGCGTATATTTGAGTAACCGCCCAAAGCTCTTACACCAGTACCATTACTGGCAGTGTGCAAGCCATCGCGAGCATCGTTGCTGCTACCCATTAAATAACTGCTTTGAAAAATGTTCGATAGGCTTGATGTGCTAGTTTCGGTTTCGTCGGCTGCTGGTGTTGCGGCCGTTGTCGTTACGTTGTTGCCGCTGTCGTAATTAGTGTTAACGCTATTGATGCCGCCACCGCTGCCTCCGCCGCCGCCGCCACCACCACCACCACCACCACCACCCCCACCGTTATGGGAACAATGGCATTCAGTGCTCAGTAAATCTTTGGTATCGGTTAATGGCAATGTTGCTCTGCAAAGCATAATGTAAAATGACAATTTTTCCATTTTAGAGTTTAAGCTTTTATACAGTAAACAGCATAACTAAACATGTCGGTTTATGCTTATGTCAGAGTTTATATGAGATTGTATGCAATGGTACATAGATGAAGATGCGAACAAGAATGCACACAGTGAAAGAGAAGAGCACATAAAAACTGTGTGTGTGTGTGTGTGTGTGTGTGTGTGTGTGTGTGTGTGTATGTGTGTGTGTGTGTGTGTGTGTGTGTGTGTGTGTGTGTGTGTGTGTGTGTGTGTGTGTGTGTGTGTGTGTGTGTGTGTGTGTGTCTGTGTATTTGTAAATGTTTGTGCAACTTTAAAATGTAGAAAGAAAGAAGAAAGCAAAACCGTATGATATTGTTAACCCTGTTAGCCTTGACCTTGAATGATGTTTTAAGCTGATATCTGATTTATTAACGCAAAGCAATTAGCACGTGTATGTTGCTAATGAAAAACTTTTTCTCTCTTACATTTTATTTTTTTGCGATTTTTTAAAAGCAAGCATTTGATTATATTTACACCACCGTTCGCTGTGAATTTTTTTACCCTTTCGTGTAATGAATAAATATTTGCATTATATGAACATAAACTTTCTTTTTATGCTTTTGATTTGCATGTCAGAGAATAAATAAAATTATTGAAGAAACACTTCATGCTGAAACTGCTTGGGGATGAGCGATCTGTTCATTGTAAACTTGCAACGCGTTTCTGAATATTCGAGTATCGTTCGAAGATCAGAAGTATAAACCGATTTTAAATGGCTAAGGGACTGACTACCCCAACGAAGGTAGATAAGCTAGACAAGCACTTTTTATTGGCATCATTTTCATTGACTCTAGTTGATCGTCCGCAAGTTAATCACGCCCGTGTGATTTCGTCATGTATATCGATCCATGAAAAGCTTGATGAAATGAATGAACACTTTTCCCGGATACAAACTGATGCCTATCTATACTGTTACTCGCTCGATTTGGAAAGATACATCTCCTCCGCTGATATCCTGTCAAACTTGCAGACTGTGTGTTTATTGCATCAACGCTTGTTGTTGCGGGAAAAATCATACAAAAATATGACCAACAACAGATGAGCGGGCCTATCAGGGTGCTTAATTAATATAATAGTAGTAGGGATAAGCTGATATTTTAGTTTAGTTTATTCAACTCGATTTCCAATAACGGTAGCGAAGATTTTGGATGATCCTTCGAAATAAATTCACGAAGTGATTTGATGATATCTTCGGTTTTGTCGTAAAATTCCGATACGATTTGGTGAAACTTATACAGGAGTAACAAACTCTTGGCTCTTGGCTCGATATTCGTTTTTGCATCGCTGCAACGAGCTTGTCGTCACTCATAACACAATAACTTGGCTTTTGCATGTGTGAATGTTCGGGGTGTTCTTCAGCATCCATCATCATCGAAGTCAAGATAGTTGAACAAGTGGATTTCAAAAATTTCCAATTGAGACGAATCCAGAGCTGCTGTTGTTAACATCAGGCAACAATCGGTTTTCGAAAGGTCGTTTAAGTCTCAAAGCTATCTCACCTCTTTCACTTCCATAAAAAAAAAGAAAATTCTAAAAAGTTTTTATACTTCTTGACGGGAAACATCAAAAAAAAAAAAAAAAAAAAATTAGTGGATCCGTAAGCAGGGAAACTTCACCTTGCACCTTGCATATGCATGCGTATTGAAGACTGCTTGGCTGAGTTGGAAAAATCGGGATCAAAACGAATATTTTTTATGCAATTTGACAGACACTTGTAGTTTCTCTCTCTCTCTCTCTCTCTCTCTCTCTCTCTCTCTTTTTGGCTATCATGTGTTATGTTATGCTTATATAATACGCTTTTTACCTTTTGTTAGTAAGAAAAGCAGATAAATACGGGGTTAATTAAAATTTCGAAATCCTTTATAACAGGCAAAGCTAATTATAAATTCAATTTTTTTTTTCTTAGTAGCTTAAAAACTTGCCTTATTTTTTAATTAGCAAAGGAATTATTATTTCAGTTTCATGTTATAACGAATTGAAAATATGATTTTTATTTACATAAAACTGTCTAAAGTCTTTGATGCGTATAAACGAGAATTTTTTTTATATATATATATATATATATATGATGATGATGAAGTCTAGACGATATGCAGCAAGTGTTAAATGTATTCAATGTTTGTATAAAAATTGTGTTAGATCGCCGCTTAAACTTTATGAAATTTTGCGATAAACTGTTTTTTTATTACGTAAATGAACTGAAAGCATTTATTGATATTATATATGAGAATTCAATTTAATTTGAATTTGATGAAATTTATCAAATCTGTCTACATTTCTTGTCTATGTTTGCTTAAATAATCAAGCAGTGGAAGACATTGAAAGCATAACTAATCAATACTCTGCTGCCTCGATGGAAATGTAAATGCACTCAATGTCTAGACACTAAAGGCGGCATGAAGAGCGTCATGCGGATGGAAAAGGAAAAAAAAAAAAAAAAAAAAAACAACAGCATATGATTTTTCATATTTGTGAATACATGTAAAAAAGAAAAAAAAGCAAGAAAATCTTGAGTCGATGAATGGCAAAAAGACAAAGGATAGTAAGAGTCATCAAATACGATGACTCTCGATTGCTTAGCGAAACGAAAAGCAAAGGAACTAATTTGATTTTTCTCTCTCACAATCGCTCAAATTTCGTAGGGACCACTTTAACGGCTTATAAAATTTTTTCCGTACGGAAGAAAGTCCCAATATTTATAAAATTTTTGGTGATTTGCTTCGAACATGGTATCATATGAGACGTATTTTTCTTCAATATAATGGGATAAGACTGAAGGTGAGATGAAACATTGTTTATGTAGATAAACAGTTTAAAGCGCTTTTTCTCCTTTCTAGGCAATTACTTTGTTATTTAATAGATGAGCGTTAGACGTCAAACTTTGAGCTTGAGGAACGGTACGCTTTAGTATGGGGCTACGTAAGCGTAAATCCATATTTTACATAAAAAAAAAATAATCCATTCAATATATAGAGGTGTGTCGCGAGTTGTTTCTCCGCTGCTCTATGTATAACCTCGGGGCGGCTATGTGGGCTTATTTGACAACTCTTTCAAACTACCTTCCGTGACAATGTTTTTTTTTTAATTCTTTCTACGCCATTCGATATGAGTAACGTTTGCGGGATATTATGCTTCATTGCTTTAAAAAAGGTTGCAACGTCAGGGGCACTGCAAAGGAGATTTGCACCGTTTATGGTAGTGGTGCTAGAACCGGCTGGCTGACAATTTTGATTTGAAAGATAAGGACAGAAACGCAAGGACCGTCGATCAACGACGGATACGGACCTCCTCAAGAGTATGCTCGCTGAAAATCCGGGCCATAATGGATATTACCAGCATTCCCAGGACACCTATACATAATCATTTAGTCACGATGCGATCTGGCCTTTGTTGATTTTGCATCAAAAAAAAAAAAATGGAAGAAACTTATGGAATACCCTAACAATTTTATGAATATAGCTTTGAGTTTAATCGATGGTCCGCACAATGTCTCACCTATGGCCACTTAAATGTTCCAGATACCTTAGGTATAAATAAGGGCTTATATAAGGGAGTGAATGTAAAAATGCGATGCGATACAATTAGTTCAGGCAATTTGGTTAGGGCTCTATGTACCAACTAATTAAGTTGACTCGAGCATTGCGAACATTGAGCATTTCTTTGAGAATACAAGTTAAGAGCGTGTCGTTCACTTGCTTGCTCGCTATAACTCAAGGTTAGGCATCGAAATGGAAAACCACGCTTACCCACGCATTGTATACTCTCTTCAATGATCAGATGTATGATATAAAGCAAGCACTTGTCGATGCTAATTAACTTAAACATTAATATATTAAAATTATATTATAACAAAAAAAAAAAAAAAAATAATAATTGAAAAATCAAAAAAAAAAAACATATATATATATATACACATGTAAATCTATGACTATACTATAAAGTGAGTAAGCAAGTCATCAAGCAGTGAGTGTAAAAACAAAAATACTAATAACAATAAAGCCATTAAAAAAAATACAGCATATTTAATATAAAAAATGGAAGCGAATAAAAAGGTTATGTTCGCCCTGGACTGAATCGTTGATATCCGCATACATGAAAGATGGATGGACCGATGAATTAAGATATTCTTTAGCTTTAGCCAGGAAAAGGCGATGATTGTTCTAAATGCTCTCGAGTTACAGCTTTTCGCTGTTGTTGATGTAAAAGCTTTGAATATTGGAAGACGACTTCAATTTCATGCTTCTTCGGATAACATGATCGGCGGGTGTAATTTAATTGGAAATGGAATAAAATCAAGAATACGTTAACTAAGTATGAGCGTAGGTTCCATCGAAAAATGGATAAAGAGAGGGACTTGAACGTGATGTATATATATATATATATATACATACATACATACATATATACATATGCCAAGAATCGTCAAAAGTTGTTATATCTCCAAGGGAGCCAAAATCTGACAACGAGACAGATATGAAATACGATACGTTCTAAATGTTACATACTGAACGACAACATTAGCGTACTCTATACCGCGAATGGAAAGAAAAAGTTAAAAAAAATTTTAAATAAAATATAAAACAACTACTTAACACTATGAACAAATGATAGAATCATAATAGTTTAATACTAACACATGTAAATGAAAAAATGAGAAAAAAAAAGTTGTTGGGAAAATAAAAAAAAATAAAAATATATATATATATATATATATATATATATATAAAACGATATATAATATAATTAAAACCATTAAAAAAAAAATCGTATCTACAATGGATTGATACTAGTATGGAAGCATAATGAGGTGTTTATACACCGTGGAAAACCGAGACAAGGCAAGTCATATAATGGAAATGTAATAAAACAGAAAACGGAAAACAAGATAAATAATGATGACGTTTTTGCTGCTGTCGCACTTAGGTGATAATAATAATAATGATGATGATGATGATGATGATGATGATGATGATGATGAAGATGATGATAATGATGATGGACATTAATTAAAAACAATTGATTTGATAATCAAGTGATATGATAGAAAGAGAAAGATAGTGACAGATAGACAGATAAAGAGAAATGAAGTAAAAATAAAAAAGCAAAACCACAATCTAAGCGATAACTGCTTAAACATATGATGACTACGAAATGATAGATATGTGTGATATATATATATATGTAATATAATATATATATATTATATATAACAGTAAATAAAGATTGATACTAATGATGACGATAATGGCAGCGATATTGATGACAATGATAATGTTTCGCTATTAATAATACTTAAGGCAAATGATAAATAGATACTTTGCCTTTACAGGCTGATAATATGATAATTAATTCAATGAATCGATGTTAAGTGTTTTTGTAATCGAAACAGATCCAGGAGATTTGCTTAAATAATAATTTCTTTTTTTTTTTTTTTTTATCACTTTCTTAACGAAAAATATTTGATAAATAAATTTGAGTACGAGAAGAGAAGGAGTAGTAGTAGGTAGTTGTGGTGTAAGTGTAGTTACCTTAGTTTTAGTTCCTCATCAATATACTGTAACAGACTCCTACAAAATAATATAAAATAGTAAAAAAAAAAACAAAAAAACAAATAAACAAAAAAATCAAAAAATATTTGTAGTTTGCTTATACGGTAGAGTGCAGCAAAGAATTTAACTAAAAATTTTTAATAACGAAACAAAATACAACTAGGAATTAAATTTATAAATAAGTAAAAAAAAAAAAAAAAAAACAAGAAAAAATTCTCTGAAGCTGAGAACAAAATTATCACCAAAAATACCAACAAAAGTAATTTTCTTGACATTTTATTCTCTTGCGGCGATAATAGATGAAGCATTTTATCCACTCTTTAAATGCGGTAAACTTGTCTTTCTTTTCTTTTTTTTTTTTTTAATTATCTAATAGAACAAATCATATTTCTTTGGATGCTTGTTTTGGCTTTCAATTCACATAAACAGCTTTTGTTGTTATTTTTAATAACAATTATGGATATTACTTGGATGTTACTTTCACCAATTTTCTTATTCTCATAAAGCTTTATAGTTTTTGTTAACCGGATTTATGACCATTCGAAGGCGTACACCTCCTAACGCGGGTTACAAGTCCACTAAGCTAAAGCTTGTAAGTCCTTAAGATCATTCGTCGGATCTCATTTATTTTGGATTATATTTGGCCAAAGTGAACAGCAACCAGAGTATGACGAGCATGCCTCCACTATCACTAGCAATTCTTAATGTAAACGGATTGCTTCTATTACCACCATGAATGAAAGTAATAATAAAGAGGTAAACCGAGCAAATAGAGTGTATATTAAAATGACAGCCGAGTCGAAAAAATATTCTTCATTCTCCAGTCAATATATCGACCGTTGAAAACTTTCGCGGTTTTGACTCGAAGAAGACGTTCCGCTAACTTCCCGCAATGCCGCAGATAATTGGAGGCCCAGCGATCACAATATCTATATACACTATGCTATTATGAAAATGTTGCAATACTTTTGTATTCAAACCGCATATCGCTTCGGTGCCATAGGGCAACTTCTCACACTGCAGTGCAGTGTTTCTCAAGACTTTTCCGCCTTCACTTTCAATTCGGTATATCTGTCTGATTAGTTCCGTCCGTTTTACGGATGCCTATTCTGCAAACTCAAAATTTCTCCCCGGGAATATCGCTTTGACTTGCACCTTATCAGCTACTGATAATGTTGGCAAAAACTTTGACACAAGCGTGAAATAAAGCGTCAAACACTTAAGAAAAGAAATAATTGTTCGTCTGGGTAATACGTTCATTACTCATTTTTAATCGCAGCAGTGTATGTGAAATAATTATGGAAACTTGCCGAAGCAAATTTCTATGAGAAAGGAAACACCGGTTCAGTCAAGCTGAGAGAGCCGAACAATGGAACAAGTAAGAAAATTATATTCGCTCGTGACCGTTTCTTTTATACCCATGCAAGAGCTCTCAATGTGTTTACCAAATTTGTAGCCGCGGCCAGAAGAATGTTTACAACAGGCCTTACCCAGATGGACAGACGGACATGCTTAAATCGATTTAGAATTTGAGTCTGATTAAAAATATATATACTTTGTGAGGTGCTCTGATGCTTCCTTCTGATCCTTGCATACGTTTTCACATGAAATGAAAACTTATCCCCTCATCCTTCGGTGATAAGTGTAGTTTTTTAATGTTTATGAACTAACTCTGTTAGACCACGTCAACGAGCTACGGAAACACTTTTTAAGCTTCGCGAACGACACTTCTAAACCAAGTTTATTTCATTAAGCTTTCTTTCTTTTGGGATCGTGTTTTGTAAGGATAGACAGACAAGAACGATTTTACAACGAATATATAGCAGAATGTATTGCTACCTGACAATATATGTATAGCAAACAATATGTATGTGGAGCCAGTACAGTTTTTTTATGAAAAAATACGAACATAGAATGAATTGCTGCCTGCCCACGCAATCATTGTTCAATCTGTAAATACCATATGTTACTGTTACGCTTATCAAGAATATAGAGCTCAGGCGGACTTTAAGGCGTACTTCTGTTACGAGCACTGTTGGCATATAGTATGTTATGTATTACGCAAAAAAAATAAGAAGAAAAATGAATAAAAAGCTGCAATATTCCTCCCACTACATCATCCTCGAGACACATATATAAATAAATACCTTTAAAATTTATCAAAAAAAAAAAAAAAAAAAAAAAGCTACGATCGATTACTTATGCAATGATTTCAAGTAAAAAGTAAACGAATTACTTTTCGTCATAACCGGCGAGCCATCACATTACATAATAACATGAATGTGCTTAGATATGTCAGAGACATACAGAATTTTCTAGCATGAGACGCATCCAGGGTGTGTTACATAAATAAATTGCATAAAATATATATCAAACAGTAAGTAAATGAAGATAAAGCTAAAGAGCAATGCAAAGGTAGTCAGTCTTCTTGTACTTTTCATGTGAACGAAATTTGCTTCTTTTTTTTTTTTTTGGCAATTTTCCATTTTTATATTTTTGTTTTTCCTTTTCGTTTAAAATTATTCATACGCCCAGTAGTATTCAATGTTAAATTTTTATTCAAAGCTGAAGAAGCCATTGGCTGGCAAATCGATAACCATTTAAATTCGTTCTCTTTAATATGAACTTACACAATAAAAACATATAAATAGAAAACGTGCAAAAAATATTAAATTTAAAACGAAAGGAAAATGAAAATATCGAGATAATAAGAATATACGTATTTTGCATATTAAACAATACAAAGGCGCAACAAGAAAAACACCGAATGGCAAGACAACAGCTATCGTAAGTAGTAACAAAATACTTGGCGAAATAAATTTTGATAAATGTAGTCAAGCGGCCGCAGTGTAGAGTTACAGCAGATAATAAGAAAGAAGTGCTTTACCACCCAGCAAGCAAATTTTTGATATCTGGTCCATCTACAATCCTTTCCGTCATCAATCCTGATTGTGAGTTTTTATCGGAAATATATCAGACATTATGATAATATATTTTTAATATCTTTTTTAACTCAATGTCTTCTAAATTGGATCTGCAATGCTATTTATGAAATAATTAATGCGGAATAATTTGGTCTGAATTCCATTATCTCAACTTAACTTTTATGATTGCAAAAATCAGATGGAAGGATGGACAGATGGTTTTAAAATCAGTCGAAACAGAATCTACGAGAAGACGCAGATATGAACGACGCATTATGCTCTGACTTTTGCTTGTCCATAGCGTATGAAAAAATATATGAAAAATATGTAAAGGATAAGCAGACAGTAAGGCACTGGGTAGGTGTTTAAATAGCATCTTTGTCATGATTAAAAAACAGTACAACAAAATATTTCTCTTTGTTATTATTATTGTTTTTTTTTTTTTTTTTTGTAAATTTTGAACTTTTTTTTTTTTTTTTTTTTCCAAATGTTGATTGGAAAAAGAGATAAAAGTTTTGTTCTTTTTTGTTATTTATTTTCTTTTATGCCAGAACTTATAAGCCTTAGATTAAGGATTTTATTTGAAGTTTGATTCAATGCCAAAGCATAACACATACGCATTAACATAGAACAACTGCTAACCTTAGGGACATGTTCATTATTAGGGTTCCGGTAAGTTTCTGTTTCGAGTTTTGTTGTAATTGTTGCTTTTGCCGTTGTTTCAGTAAAGAACTAAAGAAACAAATTTAAAATCAAAAATGAATTGTAATAAAAGTTAAAGCAAAAGAAAAACACTAGAATAAGAAATGACAACAAAAAGGAAACACATTGAGAAGTGAATAAAACAAAGGCTCCAAGTAATTAAAACGGAAAATTGTTCGTCTGATTGCACGAAACAAGAAAAAACAAAAAACAAAAAACAAAATATACGTAAATGTTATACAATGCTAAAGGCTAAAGATTCGGAATCAAAGGAATGAAAGAAACTTAATAATTAAAATTAAATCTGGGTGAGAATTAATAATAACAACGACAAAGAATTATTATATTTTCGCCATGAAGCATATGTTAAAAAATAAGATGATAAGATGGTAAGTTTGCATGGTTTGGTTTCTGGAACTGATGGATAGACAATGATCAGAAAGTTCGACCATGTCTGCTAAGGTGTCTTTAAGGTGGAGCAAGTTTTCCAGTCTGCATCAAGTTTTCAATTTTCTCTCTCAATTCTTCGAAGCGATAGTCAATCGTTTATATCTTTTGATAGGGAAATACTATCATAACCATAGTTAGATGGATCAGTTCAGGGATATATTCTAGACATATTCTAGCGTTGTGAATGGGCGTCAACCATCGTAAGAGAAAATAATACATTTCCCTATTATGCAGTTCAAGTTTCAAGTTTGGTATCAATTTTGGTGTTCCAAAGGAATGGCCACAGGTATCAAAATTTGGAGTAAACAATTTTCAACAGACGAAAGCTTTTATGTCATTCAAACGGCAAACAAAAAATTGCTTTAAAACTTATGAGGTCTTCTCTCACCCCTGGGCTAATCAATTAGTAGACATTTTTAGTGGAGAAAAGAGAAAAGAAAATTTTGAAAGTTTTCTTTTGGGGTTTCTTCGCCTATTGCCTATTTGTGGCTCAGTCGTCCAAGAATACGCGTTTTAAGCTTAAAGTTTTCATTCAAATATTTGCACGAAAATTCTACTTATCTGAAAACCTTTAACCGATTCTTAAATCTGACATACACTCATTCCATGTCAAAAGTGCTATATCTCGGGATTTAGTGCGTACGGTCTTCAGAAAGAATACAAGTCCCAGAGTTTCTGAGTTTCGAAAAAAATGTTATTTTCCGGCATTGCTTGCACTTCGAGTGTGGAGCAATACCTAAAGATAAGAAATCGTGGTACTGTCCAGTTCGAGTGTGTACTAGTGACGCATCTCTTATGAAAATGATCCAATATTAAATCATGCTCCTGGCATATGTAATGAAATGATATTTTTTGCAAACGAACAACCGCATAATTGTAGTGCTGGAGAGATCAAACTTAAACTGTTTTCCATTTAATAAAGAGAAGAAGGAGACAAGTCCTTTAAATTGATTTATTAATTACTCTTATGTTACTTTGCCTACAAAAGCATTCTTTCCAATGAATTTCAAAAGGAAGCAGGCATTTCAGGTTGACGAACAGACAAAGGGATAAGAAATATGGTGAATGATATGGAGAAGTATTATAAAAAATTAATGAAATCAAGAAAAAATTGGAAAACACACATATGTAGACACTATACAGTCAAAAGCAAGAAGCAAGAAAATTATATTCGTCTTAAGACGACCTTTTTATATCCACTACCTGGAACGCATACGTTAGGATTGGCTATTAATTTGCTAAACCTGGGAGGTATAGTGGATTGAGAGCGCCTTTCATCGACAACCATTTGCACAGTTTTTAATTCGTTGTCTCTTCACGGATATATGAAACTAATGAGTTTTTCGTGATGTCCAGCCATATTTGCGGCTTTAAGATTATCTTCATTCAACTCTTTTACCAACACTTAGACGAACATATGCTATGAAGTGGAAATTAGAGTGACACTTATGTGCTTGCATTGTTCTCTTGTTTCAATTTTATCGGCTTTAGGAATTGTAACAATAGTAGAGCAAACGGACAGATGTAATTGGCAAAATGGCAAAAATTCGCAGTTAAGTCGTCGTTGAAGCGCATTACTTACATTTATGATTTCAAAAGTGAAATGATAAAATTGATATATCGTTTCCAGGTTAAGGCGGTGAAAAATGCAAAAAACAATGACATAAAATATGAAAAGCAACTGTACGCCTTTACTTGTTTGCTTATAGCAGACAAGTAAATTATTGCAACTTTTTCTTTTTGTTTACGCAACGCAACTGTGGAGATGAAAAATCAAAATATAAAAATGTGTTTTGCTTCTTTTTATGGACCCACCACCCATCGCCATTAAAAAATATGCAAATTTTTTTATTTGATTTGCAACACCTAAAAGTAGGCATCTCCATTTGATTTAAATTCAGGTTTACTTAGTTAACATCGCCTGATTATTGCCTTACTCTACTAAATAAGAGCAACTCATTGAAGACGTTACTAATCCTTACAAGGATTTAGAGGAAAGCACTTTGAAGATGATAGCTAACTATCACTAAATATTCCCCAGAATAATTTTTGTATTTCTACATTGGAAAAAGGCAAAAGAGACTAAAGTCTTATTTTCATATAAGTTTCCATTTCAGGTCCTTCACCGGTAGAGCACTATTTCCCAGTGAGGCGTCTAGCCTCCGTCGATCTGGCGGCGGGATTAGCTCGTCAGATGCCAGAAAATTTATATTTGGGGACGTCTTTCGTTCTTTAGATTATGTTTTCTTACACGGTAGTTAAATAAGGATCACAAACAAAGCTTTTTTATTTATACTAACGAATTCACTGAAATTTTTATTTCACTTCTTATTTATTACTAATAAGTACTTTATGCTCTAGAAGAAAGGTCCATGTCGATGTGTTGGCTGCCCAAATCAGAGGAGAACAAGAAAATGGCTGTCGTCGGTCCCTCGACTCGGACGACAATGGATATCACCTAAGTTGTGCTTCCTACGAGGTTGTCTTTCGCCAAACTTACCGTATTCCAGTCAGAAAACAGTTGCTTTCAGAAAGCAGCGGTTTCTCCCAAAACCTGTTGCCAGTTATGTCAACTTAATGCAATCTAATTATCGTACCACTAACTAAACTCAAGATTTCCCTCTCCGAGACAAGTAACATATAAGGTTAAAACGAGGCACGACTTTGATTTCCCTCTCGAAAACTATAAAAGTAAGTAAAATCTTTATATCCATCACTTATGTCATTTGAATGCGGCATAAAATGTTTTTTGCATTCTTCCTTCCTATCTCTACCTATCCTTCAGTTCGTAATATGTTGGAAATTTTATTTACTTGCGCTTGATATAAAATTTTTATATCACTTGTGTACAAATTAAGTTACAAACTGAATGCGATCCGTCTACTTATGAATCTTGGATGAGTAAACGTTGGAAAGGCAGAACAAGAAAAAATACAACTGTCTATACAAGCAGCTCATGATTTAAAGAAATAAATGAGACTTGAGGTAAACGATGAAAAATGAAGAAAACAACAAAAAAAAAAAAATAATATTAACAATAATAATACAAGTGATGGATGGTAAGTAACGTATGCAACTAATACAAAACTTTGTTTTACATCATCCTCTACGCTACACTCTACTCCGAGCCTTTGTATTGTTCTATTTTGAAATAGAGTTCAATTGTAGGTGGTGGGTATTAATGTCAGCATAGTACGCGATGTAGTTTAAGATCTCTATTTTCGTAGATATCATAAAACGCAAACAACAACGCATTCATAGAAGGATTTTAAAGAATTCTTAAAAATATTAAAAATCAAAGAAAAATTAAAAAAGAGAAAAAAAAAAAAAGGGCAAACAAAGATCAAATTAAGTCGAGAAAATACTTACATGTCACTCGGCAAAGTTTCGGGACTAGATGAACGATCGTTGCTCCATTGTGATGTACTTGATGCAACCATGCCTGGAATGGGTGAAAATGTACATTTAAAATCTATTAGTAATAATTTCTTGTTGTTCAGGTGGTTGTTGTTTTCGTTTTGTTTTTTTTTGTTGTTTTTTTAATTGAAGAAATGGAAAAACTATCAAAAAATAAAACGAAATAACCGCAAAAGGATAAAATTGAAAAATTAATTGCAAATTGTAATACAATTGACATTTTATGTGAGAAATGCATTTAACAAATTGTTCACTAATCTGCCATATGTGTATGTATTTTTGTTTGTGTATTTTAAATAAGTGTCAAACAACGAGTAAATTGGAATGTTAAAAAGTTCAGTTGTGACACACAGTCGCAGTGACAAACATATTTACACACTTACACAAACACATCGTTTATGTACACATATATGTGCCACATAATAGTAACATGCATCGATGTGCTTATGCCAGTCAGTCACTGCGCTGTGTGCAAATACGTTTTTACTGTTTCTCAAATATCTTTAGTGTTGATTAGTGCTGTAAGCATGTGCATTAGTGCTTAGTTGGTATGTGTATTTGTGCACGTACCTGTTTTTAAAGTGTGGTTTTGTGGCGAAATACCATTTGGCCTTGATGTCATTTTGCTCGCTATACGTTGTGGCACGCTGGCAACAGTCTGTTTTATTCCGTTGTTTTCATTAAGGTTGATGTTGTTGTTATTATTGTTATTATTATCGTTGTTTTTACAATTATTCCCGAGAATTATTTAGCCGGTTTTCCCCCACCATAAACGGGCAGCAGCATAAACAGCAGTAACATTATACAATGGTATGACAGTAAATGAAAAACGAAAATTTCAAAGCATCATAGAGCAAAAAACGAAAGAAGGAAAGACAAAAAAAAAAAAACAAAATATATAAAAAAAAGAAGAGAAAATGTGAAATAATGTTTCGCAATTAGTTAACGAAAGGAGAGGGTGAAAGAGGGGAAAGTTCTTGATTAGTTTCATATAGAATACGCAAACATTGTAATTATATATGTATTATAAACGTATCGGTATATGTATGTATGTAATTAGAAAAAGGAAAAATTAAATTCTTTCTTTTTTTTTTTTTTTTTGTTATATAACAGGTCATGTTAACGTAATGCTCCGCATCATAAAAATCACATACATTTTGGCTCTTTTTTTACAATCACTAAGAATAAAGTTTTGATTATTTGCCAAAAATTTCTAACTCTGCGAAGTATGCAACGGCAAAACCATACGGTATATAGATGTACATATATAGATTTCTGCTCGAGCGAATACTAAAACTTAAAACCGATTTAAACGTGTATCCGTCATATCTTTGCCCTATGGCACAATGGTCACGATCTCAAAACCTTCGGCAAAACGATCCCAATACTCGGTCGTAAAGACTTTTCCCATCATTCGTGTTCATGGGACCTCAAAAATCCCTTAAATGTCAACCTATTTACTACTGGTTAACATTTGACCAGTTAACAAGGCGACCCTTCTCTCTCTCTCTCTCTCTTGCACTTTAATTATGACCGCAAATTTTTTGGGGACCTTAAGTCTGAAATTTAACTTGCACCGAAATATTCTTTATAAGTGCTGCTTTTTGTACCCTATATCACCTGTGATGTATTGAATTTGCGTGGATGTATGTCACACTGCGAAGGGTTCGAGATAGACACATCGATCGTTGCGGAATACTTTACTAAATCGATTTAAGTTCATTAAATCTCCGCCTAATACGTGTGCATGTTTTTATGTCCAACTGGCATGTCAGAGTTTTCGATATATTCGCACTGTGCACTGTCGACTGTGTACTGGACTGGCTTAAAAATTCAATCTACTTAAAGTTGGATTAACGGATAGGAGCGTTTCTACGATGCTTTAGTTCAAACTTGTCGTTACATAAAATTTTATTTGCAAATTTGTTGGCAAACAGTCAGTGAAAAGTACTATTTTGATATATTAAAGAGCAGCGGCGGGGGAATGGAACACTTTTTAAGCCCTCTTTTGCTATGAATATTTTTATTGAATCAAGATTTTGTACGAGAGTGAGGTCTAATTTGTTGCAAAGCTTCTCATGGAAATTGTAATTTTCGAAGGCAAAAACATTGAATCTTTTAAGGACAATCGGCAAGGAATAAAAAAAGATAATCTTTATAAATTTAGTTTTTAGAAATTTCTTCCACGATTTTTTTCAAATTAAATCATTCTATGATAAAAGTTGTATTTCCTAATAATTAATGCAAGAAATTAGCTTAGAAATTTGCTTTGATAAAACAAAATGTCCGTTAGTAGCTTTAGACCGCGTAAGCCTATTTTTCGGATTCTTTCATATGAGGATTTTTCATAGCTTAAGGCATTTCAAAATTCTTTTGGAAATTTATAAGCGATATCTTCATTTCTGCGAACGGGAAACGGAAGTGTTCTCAATACGTGCGTGGTACATGGTACTGTATTGAATGTTTCCGTAGATGCTGCACAGTTCGGTAGACGGATAGGTGGACAGGCGAACAGACAAACACACTTAGGCGCATTTCAGTTTTGAAGCGAAATTCGGCGAGGAGACTGCTTACAATAGGCATTATGTGGACTGGCGGATGGACAATCGGACAAATGGATAGACGAACGTACTTAAATCGACTCAGAACTTGATTCTGATTAACAATATATAATAATTTGTGTCGTCACTGAAGCTCTATTGTGGGCATTGCAAACATTTTGACAAAATGAATATATTCCTCAATACTTCATTCATTTATTAAATTTTTAATTTTCAATCGATGCGGGGGGCAGTGAATGGTCGTCCAGCCTAGTTCGGCTAAATGTATTTTTAATTGTTTGGTAACAAATTATGCTCTCTTTCTCTCTCTCTCTCTCTCTCACCTCTTCATCGCCGTCCCAATTATAGTAGAATTGTTGATTTGGACTCATATATTTTTGTAGCAATTCCTTGGCCACCTTAACGGACATTTCACCCTGAACAAACGGATGCTGTAGTAAACGTTCAGCGGTTGGACGTTTTTTTGGATTTTTAGTTAAAGCGGTTTTAACAAAATTATGAAACGTTGGACTCCATTTCTCTTTATTGCTTAAAGTTGGAGGCTTGAAACCACTTTTTGACATGAGGAACAAAGCACGCATCGGATGTAAATCAAACATAGGCGGTTGTAGTTCAGCAAGCTCTATAAAGATAAAGTAAAAATAAAATAGAAAAAAAAAACACATTTTTTTTTTTTTTGAAATTAGTCAGTGGGAGGCCATTACTAATATGTAATGGTTGTATTTTTACCAGCACTTAAATGCTTAATGACTTTTCGCATTCGAAGAACTTGTGTATAAATTGTATGTGTGTGTGTATGTGTGTATGTGTGTGTATGAACAAAGAGTAATTGGTTGCTGGTATAAATTTATATTAAAAAGTAAGAAAAAAAAAAAATAAAAGAAAACGTAATCACTGCGTATAAAACGATTTGTAATAGCAAAGCGACTGCTGGTAACGGTAACAAGTACACACACGCGCCAAGTAAAACGGGTAATAATATTTTTTTCTTGCTCTTCATTCTTAGAAGAAAGAAAATACGTACCGATGGCTGTTATACCACACGCCCATATATCACATAATTGATTGTAGCCTCCCTTACGTTCAACGGCAGCAACTTCCGGAGCCATCCAGTAAGGTGTGCCTGCAAAGACCGAAAGCGATTATTATTTTTAATTTATTTTACATTGAAAATATATTTCAATTTTATTGCATTTTAAGTTTTACTTAATTGCACAACAAAATGTAAAATTTATTTTTATTTTTATTTTTTTCCTTTTATCATTCTATCATATTCACTACCAACCACCTAACTAACTAACTAACTAACTAACTATCTAACGTTCTGTTCTGTTTTGTGAGGCAATCACAACATATTTACATAAATATAAATTAAAATCTGCCTTAATGCGTTGTGATTGTTTCCCTTAATTGTTATAGAAAATTATATACGAGATTTCATGTAAATAATTAAACAAACATTTTAAATAAGCAAAACACCATACAAGTTAAAATGGAAGACGAGAGTCGATTTTCGTGAACAGTGTTTTTACCGTTATAGACCACATATATTTGCGAGGATTCAAATTTTGCAAGAACTTTGCATATGTAATTTTGACTTCCTTGGCATGGGGAAGTACGATCTTACATTTATTTATTTATTTTTTTTCTCTTTTAAAAACTATCTTATATGCCTAAGAGATATTTAATTAAATGATCACTTAGTAAAACATATTTTTTAGACTTCTTTGGTTTAGGGAAGTATGGTCTTACATATAATTTTTTTTTTGAAAAACCTTTCTTATATATACGAGATCTCTTATTAAATGATCACTTAGTAAAGTATATTTTTGACTTCCTTGGCGTACGGAAGTATGGTATTACATAGAATTTTTTTTCTCTTTTCTTATATCTATATGAGAGCTTTGTTAAACGATCATTTAGTAAAATATATTTTTTGGACTTCTTTAAAGCTTTCTTATAGGCATGCATATGAGATCTATGTTAAATGATCACATAGCAAAATATATTTTTTGGACTTCTTTGGCGTACGGAAGTAAGGTCTTATTTATAATTCTATTATTTTTTTTTTAAAAAGCTTTCTTATATGTATTAAATGATCACTTAGTAAAATATATTTTTGACTTTTTTGGCATAGGGAAATAAGGTCTTACATATAATTTTTTTTTTTTTTTTTTTTTTTTTTAAGCTTTCTTGTACGTATATGAGGCCTTAGTTAAATGATCACTAAGTAAAATATATTTTTGACTTCTTTGGCATAGGAAAGTGTGGTCTTACATATAATATTTTTTTTTTCCTTTTTTTTTGTAAAGCTTTCTTGTCTGTATATGAGACCTTATTTAAATGATCACTTAATTAATAACATCTTGACTTTAACAATAAGCCTTCACTTAGTGTAGAATGAAGGATTGTAAAATTTCAATTACGTAAATTACGACTGAAAAGTTTTAAGATTATGCAAAAAAATACACTTCGAGACCCTTGAGAATGCGATCAAGTCGCATTGGTTGTTCGAAGTCAATATTACGAGTAAAATGTCTACAGAGGTGAGCAGGAAAAACTGTGTCAATCTATCACGTTTACCGATAAGCAAGAATCTGCCAAGTCAGAGTAAACAATGTTTTTATAAAAATTTAATATTTTAATGTAGTTTGCAAAACAATTTTATATTCAGGTAAGCATGAATTCGTTTATTTACCAAAAATTCAAATCAATTTTCCAAAAAAAAAACAGAAAAACAAGTAAGAAAATTATATTCGGTCGTGATCGAATCTCTTATACCCATCGCCGTTATCCTAAAAAAACTAAAAAAAAATAAGAAAGCATAGAGTGCGGGCGGGGTACGGCAAATTTTTTCTATTTTCAAAATAAGAGCTTTTGCCGCATAGGTCTTGCAGGGGTGTTCTTGGAAAATCTTAAGTCATTTCCAAATCCTTTTGCTTATTTGTAGGCGATATCTTATTATTATTATTATTATTAATTTCGCCAGAGAAATAAATTCTAAGACTAAACTCTTAAAAGGACTAGCATCTAAGGCTATCGGCTTTTATTAAAAACTCTACCGCACTTGAGATTCGAACCCACGACCATTGACTTGCAAGTCGAGATTTCTCGCCTTCGGCTACTCAGGCGGATAGGCGATATCTTAATTTTCGCTAGCGAGAATATATTTGCCACAGGCAAGCAGGTGGACAGACGGACGTTCTTGAAAAAAACATTGCCCACAAAATTTGATACATTTTTCTGCTATTGTTTATGACTAATGAAAAAAAAAACATTTTTTAATTCCTTTTCTCAGTTTACATGATACCGTCGATGTATCTTTAGATTGATTTGGCCCATTTTTAATACCAACTTGCGCGCAAGAGCTTCCAATGTTTCTGTCAAATTTGACATGGATAGCTTTAGCTTTGCGGTTAGGAGAATGTTTGCAACTAACGGACGGACGGACATGCTTAACACGATTCCGAATTTAATGCTGATATATATATATACACAGGGTAGAGTCCATGAAACTTCCTTTCGGGCGTTGCAAACGTTTTGACAAAATGAATATAACCTTCATCCTTCGGCGACGGGTATCATGGCATAAAGCAGTTGCTTATGTGCAAAAATAGATATGTAATTTATATGAAGGATTATTGCTTTTATTTCCTTTTTAAAAATTGCATTTTCGTTATCGATTGTTTCCATACATTCGAAAGAAGCATGAAAATAGTTAAGACGTCACAAGAGAAGATCTGTTGACCTGACTCCTAACTCTTCATAATGGGAATTCTGGCTAGGAACGGTAATAAGTGATAAGCACAGGAAGCAGCTTGTGTGGCCTGTCGTGCTTCAATCTATGTATAAGCTGACCTGGTCGGCTCTATATCAATTTGCTAAATCTTCTATTGCGTTTCTTCTTTAACCAAGCAAGAAGAGCAGTTCAATGCCACGGAAAAATATTTTCCAAGAACTTCTCAAGCATTGTTTTAATGAATTGTTTTGATAAATTTAAATGGATAATCTCCCCGCCTTGGCTGTCTCAAATTCAGGTAGAGTGTGTAACACGATTGTGAGAGTGCCACGACTGCACGCACACTTCATATATCGAAACGAAAGTAATTCTTCTACTTCGCTTACGTAACATATATCTATCTTTTTATGTATATGTATCATTGTACTAATGACGGGACATTTCATTATTCATTCTGACTTTCCATATCAAGGGAGCATGAAACCACCCACTTTCGCAACATCGAGGAAATAAATAAATGATAAGTTGTTTGTAAGAAACGAGCATCAGAGTGAACTTGCTCTTCTCTTCCTTTTTCTGTTTTTTTTTATGTTTCACTTTAATAGCACCCAGGTATTAATACTAAAATAAATGTTAATGTCAGAATTGAAAAAACAAAAACAAAAAAAATAATATATATATATATATATGAGATGAAGAAATATCACACACAAACGTACGCAAGCTCAGCGAGCATACGATGAGTGCGGTACTTATGGCAAATTGTGTTCGTAGCAAAAAAAAAAAAAATGCTTTCATATAAAATGGTTTTATGATTCAATAAAAGAAAAAGAACGTAATGCTTAAAAAAGAAACACGCATATGCACATACTACGGCATACATCGACATAACAAACATATCAGTGTCATTAACAACTAGCAAAACCCATTTAGTTGAAAGAAGAAGAAAAAGAAAACAAGCGTTACATGAGTGCGAGCTGATTTTTCTTCTTTTCCTTTCACAAAACAGGAACTTACGCTACAAACTTGTACGAGGCTTGTGTGTGTGCGCCTCGCTACTTTGATGCTGTGATGATGATGTTTACCCAACAACATTTAACTGGCATGCATGGAAGCGTGCTTTTGCTTGCTCATAAATATGCAAACTTTCTTACATCCAACAATTTGTCGTTCCATGGATAACATAAGCACGCTTCAGTTGGTCGCTGAAGTTTTCAACCATCCTGTGATTGATGCAGACTTTTTGAATTGCATCAGTCAACCGCTCCATTCGATTGGAAATAAACGTGATGAAGAATTCCCTAACAGGTTAGCCAAACATGATGAAAAAGACGCGAAACTCTCTTAAAAATTCCACTTTTTTCTAAATCCCTCGTATCCTTCGCAGCATAAAAGAAAGACAGGACGGAAGAGAGGAATGCTAAAATTCTATAACTATTTTAAGTACGAACACATTTACAGTCCGTATGTCCATCTAAAAAGAGGATTAGAATTCACAACCCATATCTTCGAATAGGTGAGGTGATGACAATGTAATCATCGACCTCAAGATGGTCGATTACGATCGATTTATATTTGCTTTAGCCTTCAGCAAGCATGCCCGTGCAGCAAGAGTAAGACGTGAGCCTTATTTTGTAAGAAATATTGACTTCAAACCCGATGTAAAAATGTCTTACCGCCAGCAAAAAACTCAAGTTGTCGTTGACCGAATTAAACGCCCACATTTAACGGAATATTTAGTAATTACTTTTGTTGTTGATTTGAGACATTGGGTGTCAAAGATTCGCTTTCAACGGAACAAACTTTCTTGCTTTGTTTTTTTTTATATCCATAGCCGACGGGCGAGGGATATATTCATTTTGTCAAAACTTTTGCAATCTCCAGAAGAAGGCATCAGAGACCCCACAGAGTATATATATTCCTGATCGGCATCAAATGTTAAAACGGCTATGTCCGTCTGTCCGTCCGTCCGTGGTGTAATGTCTGTTGTAAACATTCTCATGGATGTAAAAATGAAGCCTTCGGCTTCAAATTTTTCAGAAACATTGAAAGTTCTTGCACGCGGGTTGGTATTGAAAACGGGCCGAATCGCTCGACAGATACATTCACAGTACCATGTCAACTCAAAACAACTCCTTTTTTAGAAAAGGATTAAAAAAAGGTTTTTTTGTTCATTAATCATAAACTATAGCAGATAAATGTACCACATTTTGTGGACGATGCTGTAGCTCCTGTACAAAAATGTGGAAAATTGTCTTTTACTGCTTTTATCTTTTTTAGGATAACGGCGTCGGGTATAAAAGATTCGTTTACGACCGAATACAATTTTTTTACATGTTTTGTGTCAAATTGTCTTTTATTCATAATATCCAATGTCTTTACTT